TGGTACCGGGCCGGTCCACCCGGCCCTGGCAGGTGAGAGCCAGCCCTGAGGGACGGAAGGCGGGGCCCGCGAGGAGGCGGCCCCACCTGTTGCCCGTGGCTCCGCCCCTGGGCGGGGCCGGTGGGCGGAGCCCGCAGGAGGCACCCGAAGGCCGAGCGGGTGGGCGGGGCTTGGGACGAGGCCTCCGGCGCCCGCCCATTGGCGGGAGGCCCGGGGGCGGGGCCGGGGGACGCCCCGCCCCCTGACGGCCCCGCCCCCCCCCCCCCCCCGTAGGGATGACCGGAATCCTGCTGTGTGCGGCCGGCTTGCCCGTGTGCCTCACGCGAGCCCCCAAGCCCATTCTGCACCCGCCGCCCGTGAGCAAGAGCGACGTCAAGCCCGTGCCCGGCGTGCCCGGGGTGTGCCGCAAGACCAAGAAAAAGCACCTCAAGAAGAGTACGCCCTCCGCGCCGACCCTGACCCCACTGACCTAACCCTTTACCCCAGCTCTCAACCCCTCAACTCCAGTTTGTTCTTAGGACTTAGAACTCCACCTCCACCTCCTGATCTCAGCTCCCTTTCCCCTGATCCCCTCTGCCACCAACTCCGATTGCAGCAACCGCTGACAGGTGACTCCTGCCAACCCCACTCTGACTCCTGACCCCATCCTGAGCCACGCCCTGAGGGGGAGACTCTGGGCACCCTCGAGCACACCCCGCTGTGTCCTTGCAGGTAAGAACCCCGAGGATGTGGTTCGAAGGTACATACAGAAGGTGAAGAACCCACCCGATGAGGTGAGCCCCCACTGGAGGGTCCTGAGGCCTGGGCAGAGGGCGTGAGCCTCGCCTCCCCAGCCCCTGACCTCCCATCCTCTCCCACTCCTCCCGTGGGTCTGTGTGTTACAATCTCTCCTCCCAGTCTGCGGGCTTGCTTTTTCTCCTTTATGCAAGGTCTTCTGATAAACGGAAATGCTTCAAGTTCATGGAAGCCTATCAATCTTCTGACGATGGACAGTTTTTGTATCCGATTTTCACCCATATTTTCCATGCAATGTTTAAGTTCTGCCTTTGATAGTTAAGCGTTGAATCCCTCTGGAGGGGGTGTGAGGCAGCCCCGTCTTCCTCTGCCATGCATCTGCATTCGCCTAGGGGGCTGTCCTGTCCCTTAGCCAAATGCGCCCAGGAGGTGGGGCAGCCTGCCACCACTGGGGGCCTGGGGGCCCAGCCCCGCCCAGGGGCAGCGCTGACCCGAGGGTGTCCTGCCCTGGCCAGTCCTCAGTCTCCCCTATGTGCCCCCGCAGGACTGCACCATCTGCATGGAGCGCCTGGCCACAGCATCGGGCTATGAGGGCGTGCTTCGGCACAAGGGTGTGCGGCCCGAGCTCGTGGGCCGCCTGGGCCGCTGCGGCCACATGTACCACCTGCTGTGCCTCGTGGCCATGTACTCTAATGGCAACAAGGTGGGTGGAGCTGGGGGGGTGGGCAGCGGGGGGGGGCAGGTGGGTGGAGCGCAGGTGGAGGGGCGGGGCCAGGATGCCTGGGGGCCTCACCGCCAGCCTCCCCGCGCCAGGATGGCAGCCTGCAGTGCCCCACCTGCAAGGCCATCTACGGAGAGAAGACAGGCACTCAGCCGCCCGGGAAGATGGAGTTCCATCTCATCCCCCACTCGCTGCCGGGCTTCGCTGACACCCAGACCATCCGCATTGTCTACGACATCCCCACAGGCATCCAGGTGAGCACCCCACCCCCGCATGCCACCCCCCACCCCTGACCTCAACTCCTCTGAACCCTGCAGAGGCCCCTCACACCTGTCCATGGTTCAAGCCCCCACCGCCCTCCCCACAGGGCCCTGAGCACCCCAACCCAGGCAAGAAGTTCACCGCGAGAGGCTTCCCGCGCCACTGCTATCTGCCCAACAACGAGAAGGGCCGGAAGGTGGGTGCCCTGAGGGTGCGGGGGTGCGGGAGCAGGCCAGGGTCCCCCTAACCCGCAATCCCTGTTTCCTCCCTGCACCAGCATCGACCACTACCTCCCAGGGCTTGCCCAGCCCTGATGGTTGCTTCACACACATTTCACTTCCAGCTTGGTGAGGTCAAGGTCTTGACCCTTGAGAAGCCTCAGACAGGGCAAGTAACCTGCCCAAGGTCACGCGGCTAGTAAGTGGGAGAGACTGGATTTCAACCCAGGCAGTCCATCCACGCTCTTCACCATCATACTCTGGCTTGTCCGCTTCACTTTTTGTTTTTCAAGAGAAGCCAGGCGTTCTGATTTTCATGTGACATCTCCAGATTTTTGAATATTGCCTAAGAAGTCACCAAATGGCTATCTAGTGAACCAAACACAGCTGAGGGTCTTCAGTTTGAGACCCAGATGAGAGAGGCAGATGATCTGTAAAGAGCTATTACTGGGAGTCCATCCAAGGAAATGGCCAAGCTGGGCAGCCACTGGGAATGCTGCAGGGCACAGAGGGCAGCTGAGGGAGCCACAGCGTGGCCAGGGAAGGAGGGAGGCTAGGCTGGAGGGGCTCGGGCCACTCACCCACATGCCCATCCTGGTGCCCACCCGCCAGGTGCTGAGGCTGCTCATCACCGCCTGGGAGCGGAGACTTATCTTCACCATCGGTACTTCCAGCACCACGGGCGAGTCGGACACCGTGGTGTGGAACGAGATCCACCACAAGACCGAGTTTGGATCCAACCTCACAGGCCATGGCTACCCGGATGCTAGCTACCTAGACAACGTGCTGGCTGAGCTCACAGCCCAGGGTGTATCTGAGGCTGCAGCCAAGGCCTGAGGCCCAAGGCTGCCCGCCTTCCCTCTTGCTTGGCCCCTGGTCTGGCACTTGCCTCCCTCCGCCAGGTGTGTCCTGGTGGCCCCAGTTCAGGGCTGGGGAGGAGCCTGTGATAGCCAGAAGCATTCTGGGGATTTGGCTGGTGGGAGTTGGAATGATAGGAGGATGGCAGGCCAGCCAGCTCCGACTTGTAGCTCCCTGAGAGGGTGGCCAAGAGAGTACCAGGAACCACAGCAGCCTCCCTACCAAAAAGACAGAGCCCCACCCCCTCACGCAAACACACGTGTCCTATTGAACACATGCACGCACACCCACGTGCCTCTACTTACCCCCAAACTGGGGGGAAGAGACAGAAGACCCCTGTGATACTCCATCCGGATTCCCATCTGTGTCTCTATCACATCTGTACAGGCTTGTCAGCAAGCAGGATTCAGGTCATACACCTGCGGGCCCGCTGGGGCTAGGGGGGAAAGGGGCCCTTGGGAAGCTCAGCCTCCTCCCACTTATGCCACCCACCAATGGGCAGTTGTACGGCCTATGGGGTAGGAGCCCCAAATCAGAGCAGTTCTGCAGAGGAGCGGGCCAGAGGCAGGGGGACCAGAGGGATCTTATTTTGTGCTTGTGTCTCTTCATCCTTCTGGGATTCTGACGTCCTTCCTCTGCCTTTCCATCCCCGGGCCTTATGTCTGTCCCAGATAAAGGCACTGTTCTCCTTTCCTCCCCACCCCATCCTCTCCATCAAATCACTCCCAACATCGAGATCCAAAGGCTGGAGCTTCTGGCTTCAGGAGTAAGACGAGGAGGCCTAGCTTAAGCCAGCAGGGCTGAGAAGCAGACCGGACAGCAAAGAGTCCATTTCCCTTTCCTTGGGAGTGGGCAGTGGGGTGGCTGATGGTCTTGGCCAACCAGGGGCCTGTTGCCCAGGCAACTCACCAGCTCCGCCTCTGTTGATTGGCTGCCACGGTGGAAGACAGCCAAGATTTAAAGGGACGCCAGCGATTGCTCTTTTGAAAACCTACCAGTCCCACTGTGGGTGGAGAAATAAATGGTCTTTCTCCTCCTCACTCAATCTTTTCCTGCCAAAGGGGGGTGGGTGGGTGACTCTGTTCCTGGGGGCCTCTGGTCCACCTCATCCAGGAGCTTGCAACAAAATATGACCCCAGGACCATTGGCCCTCTCAGCAGTGGGCAGCTGGAGATGGAGGGGTCCCCAGAATTCTCTTGGGGTAGGCAGGGAGGAGTGTGAGGGTGACAGAGGCAGACCCTCCCAGTCCTAGTCTCCAAGAGGGCAGGGCTGAAGGTGCTGTTCTGAAGCACGGCACAAGACAATGCACGCAGCTGCTCCCCGATACAGTACTGGGAATGAGGGACCTGCGCTGGGAGCCGAGAGCCTCCGGGAAGCCATGAAGGAGCTAGGGGACACCGCGATTGGCTGCTTCGACCCCAGCCCCTGCCCTAAAGAAGGAGGACCCAGTCTGTCTAGGAACAGATCCAGGAACTGCAACAAGCTTCCCATCAGCTCAGCAGCATCCCAGGATGCTGGGTGGCTGCGGCTCCAGGCGACCCCTGCTGACCATCCTGGGGATCGCGCCGCATCTTTCCGGGTCCCCTTTACCTCCAGATCAGCTTTGGTTTCTGTCCCACCCTCTAGTCACACAAAACCAGAAATGAGTCCTTGGAGGCCCTTCCAGTTCTGTCAGTTGGGTGTTCCCAAACATTTTACCCTCTATGATTCATTCTCAAACAAAATCTCACCTCAAACCCTAATATACAACATTGCCCAGCCCCGTGATCATCAAATCTCATGTTATTTTTATCACCAGGGGGACCTTGTTAAAAATCCTGATCCCTGCCTCCACACCCCTCGGATTCTGATTCAGAAAGTCTGGGTGGGGTCCTAGAATCCACATTGCTAGAAGACAACCTAGGGAGTGAGCTTTGGACCACGGTCTAAGAAAGCCCTCCCTGGCTCCCAAGCCAGCTCCGTGGACCTCAGTTTGACAACCACACATCTAGACACTCCTCATTTTATACAGCATGAAATGAGGCCAAAAGACGGGATGAAAGCCTAGCCCAAGGTTTCCCAGGCTCCAAGGGTCTGAGTCTGGAACATTGGGCTCCAAGCCTCCATTATTCCTGAGGGAACTTGATTCTGGAAGCTTGTGGCTAAGACTCTTGGCTACGGCAGGGCTCAGGAGGATCAATGAGGTTTAACGGATTGGCAGACATGAAAACAGGAAGGGCTGAGCCTCTTTAGTGCCTGACTGGGGCAACCAGGCCACATAGGTGTCAGGGATTCAGGTACAGTTGTATCCAGCAGCTCAGGAACGGGCTGGCCTGGTTGGTGTGGGAAGAGCCCAGTCTGATATAGCAGAAAGCTTCTGGTGAGCCAAATGAGTCAAGCTCCTTATCCCACCCACTCCCATCTGCCTCAGCCCAGAAACTGAGATTCATTCAGTACGAGGCCAGCTCCCTGCCAGAGGGCTTCCATGTAAGGGCTCTGGACTTAGGGCACTGAGACTAGGAGATCTCTGGAAGCCTCCAAGCTACAGTGTCAACGAGGTACAGGACAGCCTCAAGGGGCCAGGGTGCGCTGAGAAGGACCCGCTGGCTCCTTCCTCCTCCTTCCGGGCTGGTTCTGGCATTTCCTCAGTGCCCAAGGGGGCCCAGGGCCACCTTCTGCTGTTCCCGCTGCTGGAACTCCTCGTGGGCTCGGTCCAGATCTGCAAGCACCTCCAGCAGGCGGGCAGCTGCCGCTCTCTGCTGGGCCAGGGCATCAGGGCAGGCCCCTACGAGGGAGACAGGGAACCACGGGGGCTCAGCCAGGCCGGGTGGGTGGCCATAACCCAGACCCAACGGCTTTCTCAGGCTCCAGACTGGCCCTAGCCCTGAGAGCCCCCATACTCCATCCCATCACTCACCACACCTGCTGGTGAACTGCAAATGGGACACTCATGGGGAAGGACACAGGAGTGTGTTTGGCAAGTTGTGGGAGGTGGCAGAGAAGGCAAAGAAAGGGGACCTCCTTAGCTTCTTACCTTCCATGGCCCTGGAGCCCTTCTCAGTGTCTGCCTCTGGACTTGAATCTATGCTGGGATCTTCCTGGAATTTTATCCTGGCAGTTGAAAGGGAGAAAGATAAGGTTGGTCCCTGACTCCCAATCTTGTTCACCACCCCAGAGATTCTCTGCTGGTTGCAGGAGACACCACAGGTTCCCTTCAGTCACCACCACCACCACCACCACCATCATCACATCACTCTAAATACTTAGAGTGCCAGACACTACTATTAGCCCTTCACGTGTATTAACTCATTTAATTATAACAAAAAAAATGTATCTGAGGAACGTACTTACTTGTGGCTCCATTATACAGTCCACTGAGACACAGAGAGGTAAAGTAACTTGCCCGAGGTTGCACAGCATAATAACTGCTACCACTTACTGAAAGCTGTGACCAGGCATCTACAAAACGCTTCACCTGTATTAGCTCATTTGACCCTCAGGACAACCCAATGAGGAAGGTACTATTCTTATCCGTACTTTCCCGATGAGGAAACGGAGGTACAGAGAGGATAAGCAACATGCCCAAGATCATACAGCCAGTAAGTGGCTAGCCCCGAATTCGAAGCCTGGCAGGGCAGTTTCAGAACCCACTCGAGGAGGAGTTGGAACAAAACTCTAGAATAGTGGGGAAACCCACCAAGAAGGAACAGGAACACATCCCAGGCCTGTGCCCATGTCTCAGGAGGCCCGGCTATTAAAAGATCCAAGATCCACTTCTGCATTGGGGCCTGCCTGAGGATGCCTCCCAGTCCTCCCCTTGAGCCTGCACACCCCGCATCCGGGAGTTCAGCTGAAGCGTACGGAGAGAATGAATAAATGAACACGGCAGTTAATGCGGGGCAGTTGGCCTGGCTGGTCATAGCGGGGGAAGTGGGCCTGATGGGGGCTCCCACCTGAGCTGGTCCCGTCCCAGGAGCAGCTGCCGATACACCATCTGGATCTCAGCGTCGGGATCCAGTGGGTCACTCCAGTCCCCCAGGGTGACGGCCGAGTGTGTGCGGCTGCAACCAGCAGCTGAGGGGAACATGGCACCATCAGTACCGCCTCCCCTCGCCCCTCCAGAAGCGACCCCCCAACCGTGGCAGATGGTCGCCAAGCCCCGACCCTTCTGCCTCTAAAATCATTCTCCCAACCTACTACTTTCACCAAGCTCCACTGCCTCCACTCCTGCCCAGCAGAGCAGTGGCCTCACTCCCCCTCCAGGCTCCTCCCACAGTCCAGCCTCCAGCCACACAGACCCTTTTCAATCTTTCAGCTCCTCCTGGGCCACCACCGGGCCTTTGCTCATGCTCTCTACTCCACTTAACAACACTTCCTTACCCCATCCTTGTCACCAACTTCACTGCTTAATGCCTACTCTTCTCAGGTCACATCTAAACAGCACCTCCTCCAGTAAGCCCTCCTTGATCTCCAACTCTGGGGCTGGGTCAGAGGCATTCCCTAGAGCCTCAAAAGCCTCACCCTGGTGCTTATTAAGACTACTGCAATTGTCTGGTTATTCACTTGTCTGCCTCCAGAGCAAGCCTCACGCCTGTGTACCACTAGATGCCTGGCACATAGTAGGTGCTTAAAAAATACCTCACATGTAATGAGCACTATGTGCTGGGCAGTGTTCTAAGTGCTTTGTGTGTATCAACCCACTCCATCCTCGAAACAACCTAAGAAAGCAGATACTTTCATTAACCCCATTTCATGCTTGAGGAGCCTGAGGCACAGAGAGGTTAAGGAACTTGCCCCAGGTTGCACAGCCAGCCCAGGCGGAGGTGGGACACCGCTGATTGACAGGCAGGGAGGGAGGAACCTGAGCCCGCCCTGCCCCCTCACCTGAGCGCTCAGCCCGGAGGCAGCAGGTCCAGCGCGAGCTGCGGAAGGCACCGGGGTGGCAGGCGGCCAGCTTGTCGGGGTTGGGGGCGCTGGCCTTCCGCAGGGCCGACAGCCACTGGTTGAGCTCGTTCACATTCTGCAGGGATGGAGGGGCGGTCAGGGCTGGGGTGGGACCCGAGGGACGCCCTCCGCCCCATCCTTGGCGCCTCACCTTGCACTGGAGGTAGGTGGTGTGCGGCGCCCCCGCACCGGCCTGCGTTACCACCTGCATCACGTGCGGCAGCTGGAAGGCGCCCTCGTCCACGCGCTCCACGGCGCGGATGTGCGACACCGGGATGGAGGAGCGCATCTGGGAGACAGGCCTGTCGCTGCAGGGTGGGCTGGGGGCCGGAGCGGCGGGGCCCAGGGACAGCTTTCCTTTGGGGACGTGCATCAGGGGATGTCCCCGCCGCGCTCCCCGCCCCCCACCCCGGAGTGGGACACTCAGAGCCTGTGTTATCTGTAATCCGGGTGCACTACCACTGTCTCAGGCCACGAGTCCCCGGCTCCGCCCCATCACTGCAAGGCAGCGACAACTTCCCCGGGCACCAGCTTCCATCACCATCACCATCACCAATCGGCATAGCCACCGCGGGCTCGGCAGAGGGGATGTGCTTCCCGGCACTCCGCATTTATCAACCTACACACATTTCTGGTGCTGAGTCGATGTGCAGACGAGCAAACTGAGGCGCAGCAGGCTACCTGACCCTCCCGAGGTCACTCAGCTAGTGGAGCTGGGGTTGGAAACCGGGGACTGGAACTCTAGAATCTCTGCTTTGCTGATGAAGTGGGAATAATAAGCAACCACACCCTGTCCAGCCTTAGCTACGATTCACGGGTGGGCAGACACAGAAATGCGAACGTGCCAGCAGGTGCCTGAGTTGCTGTGGATTTCAATGGCAAGCTCAGGAGAACAGGGATTTTATGTCTTCTTTACTGCTGTATGTCCAGCGCCTAGAACACTGCATAGTATATAGTAGGCACTCAAAAAATGTTTGATGAATGAGTGAGCGAACAAATGCCAGCATGCGTGTACCTACACAGCCAGGCGGAGACATCTGAGCTAGCAGATTCAATTTTATGGGAGTAGGATAGCGCGTGGGCATAGAGCTGGGTGGGAGCACCTGAGGGCAGCTACCACTGTCCATGTCCTGGGCATGTCCATACCTGGGGGGTGGTGTGCAGGCCACTACAGGTGCACATTCTATAGGATGTCTGATGGTGAATGTAGGTAGTACCTGTGCCTGTCCTGTGCCCACACTGGCCCAAAGGCGTGAGCTGAGCCTGGCCTGAGACTCTGGATTGGCTACATCCTTGCCCCATCCTGTCCTCAGTTTCCCCCTGGTTATAGAGAGGCAGTTCTACGAGAGCAACCACCACTGGAAACCCCTCCACTGTGGGCTGGAGCCCCACCTGCCACTCAGGATTCTTGGAGTAGGAGAGGGTCTCCCCGCTGAGCCAGAAGTAACGCTTCTTGAAGGCAAAGCGTGTGGCCAGGCCGGCGGGCTCCTCCTTGCGCTTCAGCAGGTAACCTTCCCGAACAATCACCGAGGGGGCCACCAGGGCCCTGGCTGGGCTCCCAGCCTCTGGGAAATGGGGAGGGGGACAGTGAACCCCTCATATCCAGGCCCAACCTGCCCTGCCCCTGTACCCTGGGCTTCTATGGCTGAGCATGAGGCAGGACGATGGACAGCAGGACAGCCTTGCGCTACACTCCTCCAGGTATCACTGGAGGTGGGGTGAGGAGCACAAAGTAGGCCACAACAGTCCCTCTCCTGAAGCTCTGTAGACAGTGGTGCAGGCAGCCCGCAGGGCGGCATGCCTCATGAAGTCAGTCCAGGGAATACCTGCCAACTAGGCACCCTGGGGAGTCCCTCCCCAATGCCAGCCGTGGGTACCCTGCTATGCCACAACCAGGGTTTCACATCTGGACAGGTTCCTCCTATGTGACTTGCATCCAACTATCTCATGCCCGGGCCCCACACTGTGATACAGACTTAGCCCCAACTCTTCTGCTTAAAACTGTCCCACGTTCCATTTCACTGCACAGCAAAGCCCAGCCGCCTACGAAGCCCCACACAATCTGGCCCCTACCTCTCCTTTGTGCTCCCTCATTCACTCTTCTGCATTGGCTCCTCCTTGTTGCTACACCCCAGGGCCTTTGCACATGCGGTTCCCAGCCTGGAATTCTCTTCCCCAGGATCTTCATGGCTTACTCTCTGTCCTCCTTTAGGTCTTTGCTCCAAGAACACCCTACAAAGGTCATTTCTGTCCACCCTATCTAAAAGTCGGACCTGCCACCCCCACCCCAACATTCTCTTCCCTCTTTTTTCTCCTTATGCTGTCATTCCTGGACATACTACATTATATGCTAACTCATCTTGTTTATAGCCTGTGGTCCCTGCTCAAATGAAACTTCCATGAGAGCAGGATTTCTTCTGTCTTATCTGCTGCTGTTTCCCCAGCACCTGGAAGTGTCTTGTAAGCACTTAATAGATATCTTTTGATTGCTTGCACAGCATGCAACAGCACTCAGACACATCTCCACATTGGCTGGGATGGCCTGGAGGACAGGGCCTGAGCTCTCTTCATCTCTGGGACCTAGCACAGTAGGGGCCAGGAGATGTTAGTTGACTGAGTAGCTGACCCACTGGTCCACAGTCTCAGTTCTGGGGGTGGGGTGGGGAAAGCCAGGTCCCCAGGGTCCATAGAGTGACAAGCCAGATGTGGCAAGAACAAGGGACTCACCCTCCTCCCCATCCACATCCACCAGCTGGTCCAGGAAGTGTCTCACACGTGAGATACTCTGCAGCAGGAAAGGGTGGAGGGGGGCCATCCACAGCTCCTTGCCCTGGCCCAGTTGCTGGCCCAGGTTTCCAATGCTTTGCACAGCCTGGAGCAAAGAAGCAGGGGATGCCAGGGCTGAGGTCACTGCAGGGGAAGGGCTGTCTGTGAACCCAGAACAGAGCCCTTGATTCTCAAATCAGTGCTCAATGACAGAAAACTCGTGGCAGCATCTGCTTTGAGCAGTATCTACCCCTCCCTGTGGACAGATATCCACCCCTGGTGCCCTTATTCAGTTCCCTCTGGCGCCCGATTCCCCTCCCCAGGACTGCCTGATCCTATCATGCATACTTTGGAGCCCACTGGAACCTCAACATATGGCCACTTGGCAAAGATGGTCTAATTCATACTAAGGTATAAATGACTACTAGCCCGCTTCCTGCTTTCCTCCTGGAAGGCTTGGGTTTTCTTTTCAAGAGAAGAAATTGGAGAACATATGAATGAATGCCTTCCCATTCAGGATGGAGGGCTAATGGGTGTTTCAGACTGCTTTCTCTGAGTCTCATTTGGGTCTTCTGCAAGTTTGGCCTTCCAGCTCTATGCCTATGCTTTTCCTTGGCTCAGAACCCCCAGGATGTGGGACTCCACTTTAGGCACCTTGGCGAGGAGTAGCAGTGAGCGACTGGTCTGGGGATCCGCGTGCTGGTCCCGGAGGTCAAACAGCTTCGGGGTGAGGATGGCAGGTGCAAAGAATCGCAGGAAGAGAAAGCCACTTATGGCCAGGTACTTCACATCCTGCCAAGAGAAGCAGCAGGTGAGAGGAGCCCCCAGGAACCCACTCCCCAGATGGGGAAACTGAGCAGCACGGACTATAGGTGGGTGGTGCAATGGGAAGTGAGATGGGAGATGGGCCAGGAGACCATACTGGTCTGCCAAGATGGCTTTTTCTCTCTGGACCTCAGTTTCTCCACCTGGAAAATAAAGTGACAATACCAATCCTGCACAATCAGCTTGAGCCCAACATCCTCAGAGTCTGCCTTGTGCCAAGCACCGTGCGAAGGGCACAGCCCTATAGACGAAGCAGCATCATATTCCCCTTTTACAGATGAGGAAGCAGAAATTCAGAGATGCCAGGCGACTTGCCCAAGGTGACACAGTTGGTGACTAGAGGCAGAATTCAATCCTGGTCTATGATTTATTGCATTATCAGCACCACGCCATATACCTCTGCATTCATTTATTTAGTACTCACCCTGGGAAGGGTTCTATCTCCGTTTTACAGAGAAGGCAACTGAAGCCCAAAGAGAGGCCACTTGCCCAAGGCCACACAGCTGTAAATGGCAGAGCCAAGACCTGAACCCAGGCAGGATTGGAACTCTCAGCTATTCATCGCACTCTCCCTGCATCGCACTCTCCTGTGGACCGCTTGCTGAGCATCAGGAACCAGCCTGAACTAACAATCCCACGGCATACAGCGTACGGCGTACGTATTATTTCCCTCATTTTCTGGATGAGGAAACAGGCTCAGGAGTGAACCCAGTCCAGCTGGCTCCTGAGCCAGTCCTGTGTGCGCCCCCTAGCCCCAGCCCCTGCCTCCTACAACCTGTAGAGTACAGTGCCCCTCTGTGTGAGTGCCAGGCCTGGGCCACCTACCTGCAAGAGAGACTGGTTCCCCCAGTGCCAGCAGAGGGAACTGAGAGAGAGGGTGTGCCTTTATCCTGGGTGCATCTGGCTCTCCCCAAATCACTCCCCACCCACCTTTCACACTTGCCTAGCTATATTTAGCCCAAGAATGTGCTCCAGTATTTATTTAGGGGTTGTATTCACACTTGAGACAATACCTTCCCTGGGTGTGTGCCAGCTTCCTGCGGTACCTCTGCATTCACAGGGAGCCCTGCCAAAAACTAGGTGCTTAACACTGCCCAGAGGGAGGGTCTCCGCCCCCACTCACTCATCTGGGACCCTGAGCTGCCCCCAAGGCCACCGCCCCCTCGCCTGCCATATTCCAGGGTAATGTGAGTCTTTGATATGAGCTCTTCGACTTCCTCTCTTAAGAAGGAGGAACAGGTGTCAGAGCGGCAGAAAAAGGGGTTCCCCTGGGTTTCCATGACCCCATTCACCCTCACGGGTCTGAGAATGTTCCTGATCCCTGCCCGTGGCCTCTGCTAACTGTGGGAGCTGAGAACAAGAGGACACTTGGGTGTCACTGATATTGGGTCCCCAACAAGGGCCAGACTGTCTAGGGAGCTGGCCTCTCCACTTCCCTGCCACAGCTGTGTCCCACTTAGCACCTCCAGCCCAGGCGAGAGCCTGGCAAAGTGGGGCGTAAATCAAGTCCCGTCCCAGTTTGGAGGCCCAGAGCTCACTCCTCAGCCGGGTCAAAGGGGAGAAGGGAAGACCCCCACTGGGAGAGTAGAGGCCTCGCTTGAAGTCCACAACCCTCAGCCAAGGCTCTTGACCTCTCTGGGCCTCTGTAAACAGAATGCGGGGAGAGGCGTGGCATAATCAAAAGCTCTTAATTCAAGTTCTTAGGGACTAGGCCATTACCTCTCCACCATTTAGCAGATCTTAGATTCTTTTTTTTTTTAAAGATTCATTTATTTATTTATGATAGACAGAGAGAGAGAGGCAGAGACACAGGAGGAGAGAGAAGCAGGCTCCATGCCAGGAGCCCGACGCGGGACTCGATCCTGGGACTCCAGGATCGCGCCCTGGGCCAAAGGCAGCCGCCAAACCGCTGAGCCACCCAGGGATCCCCCAGATCTTAGATTCTTCTACAAACTGAACCCCCAGTCCACATTTCTATTACCTCAGCACAACCTAAGAGCCTGATGTGAGGCCATTTGTAAGATAGGACAACAGCCATCTGGAAGGGATGCTGACCATTAAACCGGGGGGGCTCAGACTGGTAACTCACGGGCCAGTCCAGCTGCAAATGTGTAATAACTGGCTCAAAGTGGAATTGTTCTGTAGTTGTTGTTAGGTGAATTAGTGCCAACATTTTAAAAATGAGAGACCTCACATAAAATCCAGAGTGTTGGCTTCAGAAAATGAACTCTCAGGATCTGGCAATACTGGGTCCCCATTCCAACATGACAATAACTGATTGTCTGGAGCTGCCCCCTGAAGACAAGCTGTGGGAGCTCCAGTTTGCCACAGTCCCTACCATTCCCTGCTGACCCACACTGCAACCACTTTGTTCATTTATCTCACCTGCGGCAGCACCTGGGCTCTCAATTTTTTTTAAAGATTTTATTTATTTATTCATGTGAGACACACAGAGAGAGGCAGAGACATAGGCAGAGGGAGAAGCAGGCTCCCTGCGGGGAGCCCAATGTGGAACTCGATCCTAGGACCCCGGGATCACGCCCTGAGGCAAAGGCTCAACCACTGAGCCACCCAGGTGCCGCTGAGCTCTCAACTTTGATATCAATATTGACAAAACACTAGCACATGTGGGGCTTTATACTTAGGCTATTTTGGGGCATCCGCTACTGAGCACCTACTGTGAGCCAGCGTGCTTACTTGTTCTTGCGTGCTCTCTCTCACTCACTCTGATAGCTGAATTTTAGAAGCACTTACTTTGTGCCAGACTCTATTATTTGGTGGTTTTGAGTGCAGACTCAGAAGCCAGCCCACCTAGATAGGTGCCCATCCCAGGACCATGTGACTTAGTCTCTCTGGGCCTCTGTTTCCTCCTCTGTGAAATGGGAGCATACTGGTACCCACCCCATAGGGTGGATATGAAGACGAGCTAAGGTAAGGAATACATCAAAGTAGGTCCGAGCCCTGGTAAGTGTTGGTACCTGTCACTACAATTACTGTTATTCCCACCACGTCTGGATCCCAGAACCCGCCAGGAATGCCATCTTCACTTGTGCCAGGACACACCATACACACAGTTCTGTCCCATGTCTGCCCTACCTCTCCGTGTGACCCTGGACGAGCTGCTCTCCTTCCCCAGCCTCAGTCTCCCCATCTGCTCCATGGAAACACATGGCCCACCTCGTGCTCCGCCTGGGGGAAACGCTTCTCCACGCACTGGTGCAGCTGCTTGAAAGCAAGGCGCATGGCAGGTGGGCAGCGCCCCACAGAGCCCACGATGGCGTCCACGATGGGCCCCAGGTAGCCCGTCAGCAGCCCCAGGCTGGCGTCCCGCACGTGCTCCTCGGAGGGCGTGCCCTTGAAGGAGATTCTCCTGGGGAAACAGAGTGGCTGTGCCTCGGAGCCCAGCATCTGTCTGCTCAGAACCCTCCACCAGCAACCTCCCCAGCCGAGCTGAGAGTACCCACCTTCCCGTCCCACCTCCACAACCTCCCCCCTACCATCCCCACCAGGCTCCTGCTGCTGCTTAAGCATGTTGAGCTTATTCCTGTCTCGGAGCCTTGCACATGCTGTTCCCTTTGCCTGAGACACTCTTGCACCCATTAACTCAAATGACCCCTCCTCAAAGAGGCCATCCCTTCCGCATCACACATCGTCACCAACTCTGGTTCAGGGCATTGTCAGCAGGGACATGCTGGACACATGCTCCCACCTTTGCACTTGCTCTGCCCTCTGCCCGGGACACTCTTCCACCAAATCTCTGCCTCCCTACCTCCCTCATCTCCTTCAAGTCTTTGCTGAAAGGTCCCCTTCTCTGTGAGGCTGTCCTTCTGAGCACCCTGTGGAGTACTGCAAGCCCCTGCCCTGCTCCTGGTACTTCCCACAACCCTTCCCCCACTCTCTCTCCCTCCATTCCACTGAGCAGCTTCAATAGCCTTCTTTAGTTGACTATCTGCCTCCCCCTGAGAGGCGGATTTGCATCCACCTATTCCCTACTGCGGACCAGTGTTCAGCCAGAGACTGGCACATAGTAGGTTCTCGATGATTGTTCCGTTGGGTGTGTGATGGCATAACACTTTTGTACCTGCAGTATTTTCATCCCTTCTTTCTTGTTCCCATATAGGTGTAAGGTCTGTCTTGCCCACCTCAGAGTTGGGATTTGAACCCAGGAGCTGTTTTGGAGTCCTGCCCATCACCACTACCCTACATAGCCTAAGGATCTCGGTGCTCCCGGTGAGGCTTTATGCTGGAATTGAGGAGCTCCTGAGCAACTGTGCCAGAGGGAGTGGTGGCTACTGGCACAGCCCCAGCCTGATAAAGCTCTGGGCACACAAGGGGGCTGCCAGGGGGTCAGGGTTCTCCCCCGAGGCTTTGCTCACCTGGTGCGGCCCAGGTCCATCTTGCACGGGTCCAGCTCCATGTACTTCTTTTCCTCGAAGACGCGGGTAATCACCGGCTTCAGGACCTCGTGCAGGTAAGGCATGCCCACGAGCTGAGGGCAGGAGCACCCCATGGGACTGAGGGCTGAGGGTGAGGCCGGGGCGTGCCCAAGAGCCAGGGGCAGGGGGACTGTGCAGGGAGCCTCAGAGAGGGGCTGTGGCATGCCCACGAGCGGGAGTAGGGGGCACTATGCAGGTGCATCTCAGGGAAAGGCCAGGCACCAGCCACCAGTACCCTGACCCAGCTACCCTGAGCCAGTTGAGACCAACCAAGCTCTGGGCCCCACCAGGCCTTTGCCTGCTCACCTTCATAAACTGTTCCATTGCCTTGGATGCCAGGGAGTTAGAACGGAAGAGGGTGTTGGGGTCAGCTGGGAGGACAGAGGGAAGTGTTTGCTGAGATTTGGGGGCTGGATCCACCTCACCCCATCCACCCAGGGTGGGAGTCGTGATTCTTCCAGCCTCAGGAATCAGGTAGAGCTGCAATATCAACTCCATCCACAGTCCAGGGGCCCAGAATGGTTCAATGAGCTGCCTAAGGTCACACAGCTCAAGAGTAGCACAGCCAGCACCTGAATCCAACACTGCATCCCCAGCTGGCTAGTGGTGCACAACGTAGGAACCCCCCCCCCACAGTCCCCACATAGGAGGCCCGGCCTCTGCCTGACGCCCCACCCCTGTTTCTCCCTCAGAGACCATATGCAGACCCATCCCCTGGGATGTGATGTCTGGGGCTCATGTAGGCAACTCACTGGTCCGCATAACCTCACGCCGGGTGAGATAGTCCAGAAAGGGTCCAGCCAGGCCTTTGCCAAGAAAGAGCTTCACCAGCTTGGTGGCAAGGTCCTGGCGGCAGTCCCCCAAGGTCAGCTCCTCCAGCACAGCCAGCGGACTAGCAGCATCCTCCTGGGGAAGGATGAGACGCAGGAGAGGTGGCCCAGGGCCCTGAGGCCCCAAAGCAAAAGAGCCCCGGTAGGGATCCCTAAAGCAGGGGGGAGGCCATAATCCAGATCCCCAGCAGAATTGATGCACTCACCTCTGCTGGCTCCAGCACAGACGCCATGAGCAGCTCCGTGAGCGGCTGGTAATACCCAGAGGGCAGGATTCGGTCCTCGCTGAGGCGCACCTTCAGCCGCAGGGCACCCAGGGTTCCCCTGATGGGGATCAGATCGCAGAGGAGAGAGCAGTAAGTATGTATGTGCAGGTGTGGATGGCCAAGATAGGCAGGCGCAAACACAGATATGGAGCATGGATATTAGCAAAACGAGGCAGACGTGGGCAGATGTGAACAGGTGTGGCCAGGGTGGGCAGGTGTGAACAGGTGTGAGCAGATATTGACGGGGATAAACAGGAACGGCCGAGCACAGAGTCAACAGATACGGCTGGTGTGGAATGATGTGGCCAGTGTAAACAAATGTATACAACGTGGAGAGGTGTGGATAGTATAGTCAGATGCAGACAAGTGTGGGCAGGTGTGGACAGGTGTGGGTATAGTGAACAGATGTTGACAGGGATAAACAGGAATGACAGGGAAGTCAATGTAAACAGTGTGGCCGGTATGGGGTGTACAAGAACAGACAGTGTGAACAGGCAAGGGCAGGTGTGGAAGGACCCAGGGTTTTGAACACACATCGACTAGTGTGAACTGATACACTCGCATGCAAACAGGTGGATGGGTACAGGGTGAACTCATTTGGACACACGGAAACACCCATTATAAGACTTTTGTGAAGTGAGTGAATGAAGTGACATGGTGACAGCTTGTGGGCGGACATGGGCACCCACGAGGACCTGCCCGCAAGCTGAAGATGGCACTCAGCACGGGTTCAGCCTGGCCACCCCCCTCCGCGCCCACATTTACCCAGAATCCTCCTCGGCTCTGGGAAAGGGTAGGAGACGGAACCAACCACTGGGTGCGTTCTGCTGCAGGACCTGCGGGGGGAATTCCACCTGCGGTGGGGACACGAGGACCCTCAGGTGAGCTCCACCTTGCCAGGCCCAAGGCCTCACCTGGGCCTAGAAGAAGAGCTTGGGCTGCCCCCCTACGAGGAGGGGGGGAGGCATTTACTGCCGGGGCCCACCTCCTTTCTCCTATCATGCCCCATCAACACAACAGCAGCCACACTCCCTCCCCTGGTCCCAATTTACTAGCTCCTGTCAGGACACTTAGGGCCTTCAGGGGACCCTTGATTCACATTTGGGGAAACTGAGGCCTGGAGAGATGGAGTGACTTGCCCAAGGTCACACAGCTTCTAGAGACCACATAACTGGACTGAGGCCATCGTCAGCTGTTTGGGTACACAAATCACATCTGTCCAAAAGCTGAAAGTCCAGAAGGCCCCTAAGCCCCACCCTCTCTCTCTTTTAAAATAACTTTATAAAGATGTCACTTGCATCACATACAATTCATGTATTTAACAAGTGTAATTCAGTGGTTTTCAGTCTACTCACAGAGCTGTGAGAAACCATCACCGCTAATTTCGGAACATTTACTGTCAGCGCCCCCAAACTCCTGTGCTCATTAGGTGTCACTGTTCAGCTCCCACCCGCACCCCCAGTCCCTGGCCACCACTGATCCACTGTCTCTCTTCACATGTTCACCTACGCCAGACATCTCATGTAAATGAAATTGTATCATATGTGGGGGTTTGGGACTGGCTTCTGTCCCTTAGCATGTCTTCTGGGTTCACCCAGGTGCCACGACCTCGTTCCCTCTTATGGCCGAGGAACACTCCATTGTACGGATACACCTGCTGTATGTATTCATTCAGCTGCGGAGGGGCATTTGCGTTGCCTCCACTCTTGGCTCTCATGGACAATGCTACTGTGAACATTCATGTACAAGCTTTTGTGTGTTTTCATTTTTCTTGGTGCAAACCTAGAGGTAGAATTGCCAGGGCATGTGGTGATGCTTTTTAACCATCTGAGGGACAGCCAGGCTGTTTCCCACAGCTGCTGCACTGTTTACACATCCATCCTCTCACCGCCACTGGCTGTGCATAACCTAGTCTCCCCGAAACTTGCTCAAATCTTGCCTCCTTTTAAAAACCATCAGCCCCAGGACCCCTGGGTGGCTCAGCAGTTGAGCGTCTACCTTCGGCTTGGGGTGTGATCCCAGGATCCAGGATCGGGTCCCACATCAGGCTCCTTGAGGGGAGCCTGCTTCTCCCTCTGCCTGTGTCTCTGCCTCTCTCTGTGTCTTTCATGAATAAATAAATAAAATCTTTTTAAAAAAACATGTAAAAGTAAATAAATTAAAAATAAATTTAAAAAAATAAAAACTGTCAGCCCTGACTATACATCCACTACCACTGAGAGGCAGGGGCAGTTGCATCCATTTTACAAATGTGCAAACTGAGGTTCCAAGAGAGACCTTGAGCCCGGTGCTTCCAGGGGGTAGGGATTAAGCACTGAAATTCTGGAGTCAGAGAAACCTGAACTCAGATCCTGGCTCTGCCATTTCTTAGTCGTATAGCCTTGGGAAAGTCACCCAGCTTCTCTGAATGAACCTCGGTTTTCCCACCTATAAAATGCAGACAATAGCCCCAGCCTCAAAGGGTGGTCATGAGGAGTACATAAGTGAGATCTTGCTGGAGAAGCACTTAGCACATGGTCATTCTGAGTACCCTCACTCCAGAATGAGGATCTGGGCCCTCCCTGTGACCTTGGGCAGGTTCCTGCCCCCTGGAGAGCCTCTGTCTCCTCACCTGTACAATGGGGCAGTGGCACTCCATCGCCCGGGCTGGGCCAAGGAGCTGGTTGAGACAGCCTTCACATCAATCCTTCCAGATCCCAGGATGCACAGCCCATCTTCCCTCTCCTTCCCTCATGGGGGTAGTGGGGAGCCATGAAGGGTGTTGGGAAGGGGGTGCTTACCATGCCTAAGAAGTCATTCTTGCCCACCATGTCCCAGTCCCAGAGCTCCACCCGCAGCGGGGCTGGGGCACCTGGCATCTCCCGCAGCTCCAGCACTTCATCCCAGTGTGGGAAACGGGTCTTCTTGATAGTCTGGGGAAGGCGGAGAGAGCTCGAGAGCTGAGGAGGGCCCGCCTCCATGCCCACCCCTCCCCGGATCCATGACACCACTCACTGAAGTCTCCAGGCTCTGGCTGCCCCAGAACACACGAGCGAATGGGTCAGATGTGCCGGTGATGTCTCGGGGGGCCAGGTCCCTGTGGACAGATGAGGAAAGGAGTGAGGGATGCAGGACCCCTGAGGACCAGATCCCAAGCTAGACCTTGAAAAAGGGGTTCAGGATGGACTATTCAAATGCCTCTGGCCTCTACTGTGGGGACCCAACAAGTAGTACCCCTCACCCTACCTGTCCAAGCCCAGTATCTTCCTGTGGACCAGTGTGACCCTATGAGGAGGCCCTAGTATGGCCCTATCTTCCAGATAAGGGAACTGAAGCACCAAAAGGTCAAATCCTGAATCACAAGGCCCAAGAGGTGAAGGTGCAGTGGGGAGTGGGAAGAGAGCCTCAGTTTCTCTGGAACCCCTGGATAGGAGACCAGACGCCAGGATTCAAAGCCTGGCCCTACCACCCTTTGGCTGGGGGACACTAGGGAAAGTCGCTTCACTACCATGAGCCTCAGTTTCCTCATCTGGAAAATGGAAATAATAATGGACCAACCTCACAGGGCCGAGGCTTAAAGGACATGATGTGTATAAAAGGCTGAGCACAGCAGCTGGCAGGATGTGAGCACCCATTCATTCATTCGTTCATTCAACAAACATTCATGCCTCCACCCTGCCTGGGACCCAAGAAAAGGCTTGAGGCAAGGACCTCCTGTCTCCGGTTGTCACGACAACCCCAAAGTCTCACCTCAGTCAGTTTTCCCAATCCCTCCCTCCTGAGATCCCCCAAATCCAGTACAGCCCCTCACCAGGGGCTGCTGGCTTCCTCCTGCTGCGCCTCTCCCACCCCTGCTTGGCATCCAAAGCCTTCTTCAGTTTCCTAGGAGCCAGCCCAGTTGCTAAGCGACAGCAATCAGTCCTCTCCTGTTTGCAAGGATCCTGCACAGCCTGTGGCTGAGGAGGAAGCCACTGGCACAAAGCAGATGAGGAGCCCACTGTCCCATGCTCAGTCCTTTTGACCGTCCTCTGCCACCCTGGTACTCCATCCAGATGCCAGGGAACCCTGGCTGGAGACAGAAATCTGGAGATGGTGAGAGACGCACAGAGAGGGCAAGGAAAGGCTTTAAGGCCACACAGCAAACCAGAAGTAAATGTCCTCCCCAACCTGACTGAGGACTGGTCTAAAAGTGAGGGTTGGGGGAGTAAGGTGTGAAAACAAGGCAGAAAGACAAGATGAGAGATGAGGGGGGAAGAGGGATGGGAGTATTTAAGGAAGCAGAATGATGGGGGAGCTGAGGAAGAAAGGAGGGGATTGCAAAGTGATAAAAAAGCAGGCAGAAAGACGGATATCCCATGAGCTGGTGCCCCTGGAGGGTCATCTGTGGGTTTCACTGGTCCTGCATTCATCTTCCTTCTCCTGTTTCTTTGGGACAGGACCTGTCCCTCTCTCACTCCCAGCTCACATAACTTAGATAGGCTGATCCTTCTCTCACTCCAGGAGTGGGTGTGGGACTCAGGCCCATCCAATCAGAGTCCATGTAATTGGTTCAGAGATAGGTATGTGCCTCAGATTGGGCCAGTAAGAATCAGTCTCAGGACATTCGTTGGAAATGACAAAGGAAATTTCTTTTTCCATTAGACCTGCCAAGTTGGCAGGATGCTATCCTGCTGGGGTCATCTTTGCCCACACCTGGAGACAGACTGCCAGAGAATGAACCTAATACAAAAGACAGCTGAAAAGTCTATGTCTATAGATTCCTGATCTCACTGTTTGAGCACCTGAATACAGCCATGCCTGAAGCTGCATGTCATTCATATAAGCCAATCTGCTTAAGCTAGTAGGAATTGGGTATCTATCACTTACAATTTGATTAATACACCTCCATGCTTTTTCTGGCCATCCTGAGTGTCTGACCTTTGGTTGCTGGCACCTGAAGACCCAGCAAAGATTTTGCTTGTGCTCTGACCCCAGGAGTCTGCAAACCTGGTAAACTTGGACTGTTTGTCTACAAGTGATCCTGGTTGTGAGCCCAGAAATTTCCCAGAGTGATGCAGTCTCAAAAGCTAAGACAGCTGGGGGCATCCAGCAAACTCTTGCTCATTGTCAGACCAACCCCACACCAGCCCCCATCATTACTATACCTGGCCTGGAGCACGTGACAGCGAAGACAACGGCCCCGTGTGTCCTCCAGCATCTGCACATCCAAGCAGATCTCACCCTGCACCTCTGCATCTGGGTCGACACGGCTCAGGTTGATCCAGCTATCAATTCCTGGAGGGCACAAGTGCTAACATCTATTAAGCACTTACTGGACACTGGCATTGTGTTAACAATTCAAATAACATTACACATGTATTAAGTCATGGACCTCTCGTGTTCGCCTTTGATATAGGGGCTGTAATCAATCATCCACCTTCCTGATGAGGAAAATGAGGCACAGTGAAGGAAAAGCTTTGCCCATGATCCTGCAGTTACTAAGTGGCAGAGCTGGGCACTGAATGCGGGCAGTAAGTCCAATGCCCTTCACCCGGTACTATCACACTCTTCACCCTGCTGTACAAAACACTTCATTGTTTAGTTCCAACATATTCCCCCTTCACAAAAATCTTGGGCATTCCTACCTCTGACCCTGCATCCAGGTAGTTCTCTCTGCCCAAAACAGTCAAGTCAACTCCAACCTCTCTCTCTCTCTCCCCACTCTGAAGATATCATCCACTAACTTCTAGCTTCCATTGTAGCTGTTGAGAAGTCATTTCAGCTTCATAACTGACCTTGTGTCAATGATCTACCTTTTCTCTTTAATTTTAAGGACTATGTGTTTGATATTCTCCAATTTCACTGCATAGGCAGGTAAGAATTTTCTTATCCTGCTTACTGGGGGGTTGTATTGTTTCTACTTAAGGAATCATGTCCTTCCTTTCTTGAGTTCTGGAAGATTCCAGGTCATCAATTTTTTTCTAGTCACTTCTTCTCCCTAATTTTTTCTCTTCTTTCCTCCTAGGACTCCAATTCGATGGATGTTAGACCTTCTCAGTAATTTCCTATGTCTCTGAACTTCTCTTTTATATTTTCCTTGTTTCTCTGGGCCAATGTCTAAATAATTTCTTCATATCTCTCTTCCAGCTCATTAATTCTCTCATCATCTCTGAATGATCTGCTGTTGAACTAGGCTACTCAGTTTTCAATTTCAGTGACTACTTTTGATCTCTACAAGTTTGCTTTGTTTTTTTTTCCAAGTCTATTTTTTAATGTATTGCTCCAATTTATTATGATTATGATTGTCTCTTTCTGGGGATTACATTTCTATTTATTTAAATAGTATATTCCTGGGACGCCTGGGTGGCTCAGTGGTTGAGCATCTGCCTTTGGCCCAGGGCGTGATCCTGGGGTCCTGGGATCAAGTCCCACATCAGGCTCCCTGAATGGAGCCTGCTTCTCCCTCTGCCTGTGTCTCTGCCTCTCTCTCTCTCTCTCTCTGTGACTATCATAAATAAATAAATAAATAAATAAATAAATAAATAAATAAATAAATAAATAAAATAAATAAATAAAATAAAATAAAATAAAATAAAATAAAATAAAATAAAATCCTGTGTATCATAATGATAAAATCTAACATCTTTGCAGGTTCACATCTGGTGGTTATTGTGTCTGCTGACTCTTGCTCATGGTGGCCCACTTCCTCAAGCATATGGTGAGCTCTGATTACAAAGTCATGTCTGTTTGAGCTGACTCTGTGGGAAACTTAACATGAGGATACTTATCCCTGGAGAGGAATGGTGGTTGCTTATTCTAGGACACTTTAAGCTTCTTCATCAAATGGGAAATCTTGGGTCCAGTAGCATCTGCCTTACCCTGGCCCAAGATTTAGTCTCTTTATTGATGAGATGTGATGCTGACATTTACTTTCAGGGAAATCTTTCCTTACTCCTTTGCTTATTATTCCCCACCCCCTGTCAGGTTTTCGCTCATAAGTGGTGGGAGGAGGGTGGCAGTGGGGGGACTAGAGAATAGTGAGAATTTTTTCTTCTTTACAGCAAGTCCTAAAACGTATTAGGTATCCTGTCTAATTCAGGATAGACTGTTATGCTGCAGGAGGATCTAGTGCCACACACTACTGGGAGTTTAGTCCCCCCTCACCTCTATCTTTACTGTTACCCCCAAATCCAAGATGCCATCAGCTTCCTGTCACGTGATTACTGCAACAGACTCCTAATTGATCTTTCATATGTATTCTTGTCCCACTGTGATCCAATATCCACAAAGTAGCACAGAGATCTTCCGAAAATGTATCTAATCTCTCCTATCACTCCATCCTCTGATAATATGGCTCTACTCTCTTTGCTGTCTTACTAAAGGACCATCAATGGCTCCCTAGTGCCTCTAGAAGAAAGTCCAGACTCTAGCCTGTCACCTATGGCCTTCTCCAATCGAGACCCACTGAGGACTCCATCTGGCCTGGCCTATGCCCAACCCTAGAAGAGAATTTATAGAGACATGTCTTAGTGTCTTTGCCAAAGCACCTTTAAGAATCAACTCATTCCCCTTCATCCAGGAAACCTTCCTTGTCTACACCAACCCTCTTATCCTCATCCACTGTCATGCCAGTAATATTCCATATGCCTCCACCCCTACATTCCTATCCTGCTTAAAAAATAAAAAGCACACACATGGACAGTTCCCCTTTTTTTCTTGTTCCTTGTTCTGTGTGAACATGTTCTGTTTTCTCCTTCTATCTGGTCCACAAGCTCCTTGAAGCCTGGACTCATACTTTATTCATCTAATTCCACCCCCTTGGGTGGATGTTTGAGGCATAACAGGAACAGCTCAGCAGACAGGTTGAAAGCATAGACTTTGGAAGCAGAACAGCCTGGACTCAACTCCCAGCTCTGAAACTTCTAGGAGGGGTAAGTGCCCTCACCTCTCCAAACCTCATTTTCCATCAGCCATAAATTCAAGATTATTCTAGTGCACACTTCACTTAGTGTTGTGAAGACTAAATATAGTTATATTAATAATACTAAGCCCTCATTAAATAAGAGCAATGGTTATGATTATTAGCACATAAGTTTTCAACTAATTCCCCCAATGAAAAAATACATTATTCAATTACTGATGTTGAGACAATTAGTAGTCATCTAGAGAAAAAGCAATATAGTTCAATCCCTCTCCATACCTTGAATCTGGATAAATTCCAAATAGATCAAAGATGTGAATGTACAAAAGGAAAACAAATTGTTTTGAGAAGGAATCATGGTAAAAAAACTTATCTTCTCTTAGAGTTGGGAAGGCCTTTTTAGGTATCACAGAAAATCAAGAGCCATAAAAAAAAGATTAAGTTAACTAGAGAAAAATAAATAAAGTTTATACATAGAACAAAATGATAAGCAAAAACACAAGTGACAAAGGAAGAAAAAATATTTGCAGCTAATATGATAGAGTTAAATTTGCCTAATATGTACAGAGTTCCTACAAATCAATAAGAAAAGCCAAACAACCCAGTGGGGGGAAATGCACAAAAAATGTAAATAAATAATAAACAGAAAAGGAAATAAGGCAACTCTTAAATATATAACAAGGCTATCAATCTCATTCATAGAGAAATACAAAATAACCTAAATGAAGAGGCAACTTTTTACCTGTAAGATACAAGATCAAAAGGTTTGGTAATTGCTGGCAAAAGTACAGGGGGGCAATTTGTTATCTCCTCCATAGAGGGCAACTTAGCAATAAGTCTCTAATATGCTAATATGGATACTCTATGACCAAGCAAATCCACTTCTAGGGACTTATCAGGCTAATTGACATAACTTGCACATGTGTGAAATCACATTTGTACAAGACTATTCAAGGCTGTATTGTGTGAACTAGGGAGAGACAGTAAACAACCCAAGTGCCCATCAATAGGGAACCAGCCAAATAAATTATGGCATATCCATACAATGGAGTGCCATGAAGTCAAAGATCAAAGAATGTTGAAGATTTGGGGAACTTATATGGAAAGGTCTCCAAGGTACATGGTGAAGTGAAAGGCAAGGCACGGGGTGCCTGGATGGCTCAGCAGTTAAGTGTCTGTCTTTGGCCCAGGGCGTGATCCGAGGGTCCTGGGATCAAGTCCCACATCGGGCTCCCTGTGAGGAGCCTGCTTCTCCCTCTGTCTATGTCTGTGCCTGCTCTCTCTCTCTCTCTCTCTCTCTCTCTCTACCTCTCATGAATAATAAATAAACAAAATCTTTAAAAAAAAAAGGCAAGGTACAGAACAGTGAGTATATCAGGCTGCCATTCCTATGAGCAGAAAAAAAACACATATGATGCTGTGTTAATAGCACAGACTGGAGGTAGACAATCTTGGTTCAAATCCTGGCCATTCACCTAATAACTTTGTGATCTGGGGCAAGCCATATAATCAGTCCCATGTACTTCAGGATGTTCACCTCTGGAGTGGGCATCAGAAGAGTATGAAGAGTATTATGATAATTATGATAATTAAATGAGTTGATTCATGTAAAAAGTGCTTAGAATTAAGAAACCTATTTGAAATATCTTTAGAAACACCTGGTTGGCTCAGTCAGTGGGGTGTCTGCCTTCAGCTCGGGTCATGACCTCAGGATCCTGGGATTGAGCCCTGTATGGGGATCTCTGCTCAGCAGAGAGTCTGCTTCTCCCTCTGCCCCTCACCAACTCCTGCTCTCTCTCTCTCTCTCTCAAATAAAATCCTTAAAATATAAATAAAATAAAATAAAATAAAATAAAATAAATAAAATAAAATAAAATATCTCTAGAAGGACATACAAGAAACTGACAACTTTGAAAATGAAAATGGAATAGCTGGATTAAGAGGAACAGTTTCACCACTAATTCTATTTTTTGAATACTGAACTATGTAAATTAATTAAACTACTCAATAAATAAAGTGAATTTTAAAAAATTTAAATCAACAACTGATGGGGCACCTGGGTGGCTTAATCAGTTAAGCATCTGACTCTTGGTTTCAGCTCGGTCATGATCTCAGGGTCATGAGATTGAGCCTGGTGTCAGCCTCTATGCTGGGCATGTTGCCTGCTTGGGATTCTCTCTCTCCCTTTCTCTGTCCCTCCCTCATCCAACTTGTGCATGTGTGTTCTCTCTCTTCTAAAAAAATTTTTTTAAATAAATAAAAATCAACAACTGAAGTAATTTTCCACTGAAGACTCTGTGCTTCCCCGTGCCACTTGCTATGGTGCTTGCAAACCTGGTCATGGCCACCCCTGCTCCCTCCACCCAGCTGAAGTCTGCTGCCCCTCGCCCACCTCGGGGGTCGGCTGTGATTGTTTCCCTGCTCAGCGAGATCTTGCCAATGATGTCGTCGTGCCTGTGGAAAGGCGGGCAGGTGACAGTGTAAGTCATTAAGCAGTGAAAGCAGGCAGTAAGGGCTGGCTGGGTGGATACTTTGCTTCGGGGCACCCCGCCTTCCCCCAGGTGCCCAAGCATAGGTCCCCAGGGCACACACCCCACTGTATCTTCGTCCAGAACATAGAAGGCCAAATGATGGAAATCCAGGGGCAGGTGTACGGTATACTCCTCCCCCCAGAAGGGGCTCAGGCTCCGCCAGACAGTTGCTGTCCTACAAAAAGAGGGCACAGGGGGCTGGGGACCCTTGGGCCACACAGGTGGAAGACACCTGGGGAGCCCCACACATACACACACACACATCCATGATGTGCATAGATATACACACAAATGCACACAAGGAGGGATGCCTGGGTGGCTCAGTATGGTAAGCATCTGAACTTGATCTCAGCTCAGGTCCTGATCTCAGGGTCATGAGTTCAAGCCCCCTGTAGGGCTCCATGCTAGGTGTGGAGCCTACTTAAAAACAAAACACAAATACACACAGAAACCCCAACACCCATATACCCTGAGACCTACATACACACACACACACACACACACACACACACTCACACCAGGATACACCCTGAAAGAGAGACACAGGTATACCAAGAAAGCCAGAGACACATTCCTGTATGCACAGATACACATAAGCATCCTCAGAAATTTCTAGAAATGCACATCTATGTGTTTCTACATATGGATACACGCAGATACACACAGAGAAAACAGACACATTCACACAGACACATAGATCAAAAGGAAAATGCTCAGCACATAGAGATACACAGAAACCCACAGACACACACTGACATGCATAGTGATGGATGGCAGGTACGCACACACAGAATCCCAGAGCATAGTAACTGACAATGCACAAACTCCATTCATTCATTCCTTCACTCCATAGACACCGTGACTGCATGCCAAGCCTTGTGGGCGATGGAGAATCAGAGGAAGAGGTGCCAAGGTCCCTGCCCCCACAGAGCCCCCCTCAGTGGGCAAGTGCTCCCTCCTGAGCTCTTGTGACACACGACAGCAAGAGAAGTCCTGTGATTTAGGTTAGCTCAGTGGCACCTGGCTTGGTCTGGGGATGTGGGTAGGAGGAGTCAGAAAAGGCTTCTTGCAGGAGCTAGTCAGGCAAAGGAGGCAGAGAAGATGAGGGCAAGATGGTTGGAACAGCATGTGCAAAGGCCCTGAGGCAGGGGTGAGCTTGTTGAGTCTAAGGAACAGGAAGGTGCGGGCTGAGAAATGGGGAAGTGTGGGGGGGCCAAGAGCCCATGAAGTCAGCAGGAGCCAGAGCACTCAGGAAGCAAGAGGGAACCACAGGAGGGTTAGGGACCAAGACAAGCCTAAAACAGACACACACAGAGAGCATCTTCCCCGACACCCCTTCACCCAACACTTCCCTTTACCCAGCAGGGAACAAAGAACCTACTTTGCCCAGTGAAGACACACTCAAATCTATTGCTGCAGAATTTGGTCATACACTGGCCACTCCTTTCTTCCCTTTCCCCACACTCTTCCCCAACAAAGTGTGAACATGTACACATGCATGTATGCACAGATGCACACTGTGCCCTCTACCCCAGCCCAGGGCACCACCATCAGAGGTCCCTTCTTCCCAAACAACCTGTTCCTCCTGTCCTGGTCTTTTCCCAGCTCGAAGTCTCCCGCAGAGCACACATGGGGAGATGGCAGCCTGGGATCACACAGAAAATTCTATCTGTCTGTCTGGGGGGTTTGGTATCACAGCATGTGGTGAGGGGGGAGCATGCGCATAGCAAACAATGGACGGGGGTCAGCTGGGATGCTGCAGGCTGACACCCCTCCCCAGGAGGGCTTCCCCACCCCCAGCTCCCAGACCATCTGGACCAGAACCAACACCAAAGGCATCCTGAATCCTGCTGTCTCCATAGGAACCCAGGCTTCAGCCAGCCGCCCACCTGCCCACCCACGCCCCTCAGGCCTGCGGGGCCTGAGAGCTGTCCCCCGACCTACGGGGGTGGGGACCAACTACACCCAGACCCACCTCCCTCCACCCCCACCCAAAACTCACTCATGCATCAACCCCCTCCCGTCCTCACATGTGTACCCAAACAAGCAGACACTGGTGCTCACATGTGTATGCAGGGCAGACCATGTGTGTGCAAACACTCAGCTACACACACACACACACACACACACACACACACACACACACCACAGACTGTATGCAATGTGAGCCTGTGAGCTGCATACCCCCAGGGACATGCACATGTGGTCGCAGGCATTCACGCCAGCCCTCCAACACCCACCCCCACACTCAAAAGCAGGCCCAGCTGGTTATGCATGCACGCGCGTGCGCGCAGCGCGTGCGCGCGCGCGCGCACACACACACACACACACACACACACACACACACACACACACACCCTGGTGCCCGCAGCACCCAGCAGGCCCGGAACCAGCCAGCCCAGCCAAGCGTGAGATGCCCGCCTCCGGGGAGGCCACTGTGGGAGACACAGGCTGGCAGCCGCTGAGTCAGCCTCAGGACAGGGGCAGGGACATCATCTGGTCCAGGGGGACCGTGTCGGCCAGGTGGTGGGGCAGGATGGCAGGAGGAGCTGGCAGTCCCAGCTGTCTGTCCCCAGAGGGGCCAAAGCACATGGCGTCCACCGTCAGCCCCACATGTCCACCCTCGGCGTAAGCCTTGTCCTTGCCCCGCTCCTCTTTTCAACATGCAGTCTTGTGCCTGGACACCCCAGGTCTAGGAGGAGCTCCTCCTCCATCCCCTGCCCTGTTCCTCTTTCCCCAGGCCTGGCCTCTCCACTCCTCACCTGGCCACCACCTCGTCATCCACCTTCACGATGCAGTAGGGGTCACTGCTCCCAGACCTGCAGAAGGAGGACGTTCAGGAGGGAGGTTGAGAGGGCAGCCACGAGTGGAAGTCCCAATCCACCCACATTATACGTACGGATAGGGGCAACTGCAGCCCAGAGAGGGCAGGGTACTGGCCCAGGGTCACACAGCGAGTCGGGCTAAGAGGCAGAACCTCAGGGGACCAGCAGGAGATGTCATGGGTGCACAGCCCACCCACCGCAAGCCTGACCCACCATGCATGGGCTCTCTGGGCTTCCACCCAGAGAAACAGAACACTGAGGCATGAGGCCAGAAAGTTCCCGGTGCTGGTCCTAGGCAGCCCGGAGCTGTGGCCAACAGCATGTGCTGGAGAGGCATCCTGGCTTTGTTACCTGCTAGCTGCCGAACCCGGTAAGGCTCCTCCTCTCTGTCTGTGGGTGCCAGCTTTCCCTCTCTCTAATGTTAACACACATCTCTTGGGTGGGCTGGAGGAACTAAAGGAGGTAATGCATGGGGTGGCGGATGCATCACAGGCTGGCCCCAGAGCTCTCCCCCGGGAGCCTCAGCGCTACCCTCTGGAGAAAGCATTGCCCATCCCAGCTTTTCATTTCCATGGGACTTTCCCTGGGGACGGGGGGCTCCCAGTGCTTGGCCCACTGGGGATGCACCTCTGCTGGCAAAGACCAGGGCACCCAGATCTCAAAACTCAACCAATAGCAGCACAGATGCGCTGCATCCCCTTGAGTAGGCATGAGCCACAAGCCAACCAAAGCCAGCTCCATCCCCCTTTCAAAATAAGAGTTACCAGCCCCCTCCCAAGCTGCCCCTAGGGTCCTCATGTCCCCTCTGTCCCATCACACACAGGCCTCCTTTATCTTCCACCAGCCTCAGTCCAGCCTCAGGGCCTCTGCGCTTGCTGTTGCATCTAAAATACCCTGTCCCTGATCTTATCCTGGCTGACTCAGTCCAAAAATCACCTCACCAGAGAGACCACTCCCAGCCCCCTCTATCATTTGTAAAATTGACTCCGATCCTTCTGAAGGCATCTTGTTCCCCGTTTCTCTCTGTGTTTAGTTGTCTTCCTTGCTTCCTCAAACTTCTGGGGGAGCCCCCACCCTCTCTATCTGCCACTTCCAACCCAGAGATGCCACAGGATTTCAGGGAGGGGGCTGTTGGTGCCAGGAGCCAGCTGTGATCTGAGCCTTGTCTGCTGGACAAGTCCTTCCTTAGGCCTCAGCTCCCTCTGTGTGGGTGCCACCATGCCTCCACTTCCCCATCTGGCCTCATCTCAGAACACCTCAGACTGGGTGGTGGCCTGTGTCCCTGCATTCTTTTCTGGGTTCTACGCTTGAGCCCCCTTCTGAGTAGTGCCCTAAGCCTCAGTTTCCCCTTCTGAATCTATTTCAAACCCACTGGGCTGAGTAACCCTGGCAGCCTCAGTTTCCTAATCTGGCTCTCCCTGGGGGTTGCCTGTGGCTGGGTAATCCCTATATCTCATTTTTCTGGCTCGGGTCCTCTATCCCGAGCCTCTTTTAGATATGGTCCCATTCCTCACTTTCCCCAGCTGCAGACATGGGAAGATTGGCCGGGATCCGACTAGCAAAGAATTGGGAGACACGTCCCCTTCCATCACCCAGGCCTGACCCTGGGGCCCCTCTTGGGAGCCAAGCTGGCTAGTCAGCTCCACAGCACTGACGCACGAGGGCCTTATCAGGCTCCCATCAGGTAGGAAGCAGCAGTGGCAGGAGGCGTGCCCCTTCCAGACCCTCGATCTCTCCAGACCTTTGGCCTCTCCCACGGCCCCTGCCCCAACTCAAGTGTGGGAAAGAAGGCCCCTCGGCCACCGCCTGCCCAGTGTGGTTTACACACTGGAGTAGTCAGAGCTCAGATCCCAGCTGTGTGACCTCAGGCAAGTGACTTTGCCTCTCTGGGCTTCAGTGTCCCCCATTTAGAAACAGAAATGCTAATAGGGCCACAGGAAGTGTTGAACACAGAACCCGGCACAGAGGAAGCCCTGGACTACTTACAGCTGCTATTATTACTAATACTACTACTCACAAATTGTCAGTTGAGGCCTCCTCCAGAGTCAGGTCAGGCCCTGCCCTCAAACCTGACAAGGCTTCAAGGCTTCGGAACAAGCCTGGGCCCTTTCCCATAGGAGACCAGAGAGAGAACACACCCCCATCCAAGAGTCTCCATGGGCATGGAGATCTTGGCAAGCTCTGAGGACGGCCCTTCTTGAAGAAGAGAGCCAGCAGCTAGAGAAACTGAGGCAGGGTGGCTGTATCCTCCACTAGGGTTAGTGACTCCTTCCCACCTTTGCTCTGGGGCTCACCTGGGCCCTGGAACTTGGGGGAGGAGGGGTGGCCAAGAGATGCAGGAACCAGATGAGTCAACTCCCTCTGCAGGAGAGGCAGAAGGAGCCCCGGGAGCCGTGTCCAGGGCCAGGGGCACCACCTGCCACTCCCTCACGGCCCTCACCCAGGATCATGAGATGGAAACCTGATTACTCCAGGGGCCCCCCCTTCAGTCGTGCGGCAGTTCCCAGGCCCCCATTCCTGGCCTCACTGTCGCAAAAGTTCCAGAATGCCATTCTCAGAGGCTCTGAGAGGGTGTCCCAGAAAGAGGGAAGCAGGGGCTTGTCCAAAAGCTGCATTCACACAGCAAGTGCTCTGCTTTTATCCCAAGTGCATATTTATTTGGGGTAGCTGATGAGGATGAGGGGAAGCTAAGACTGCTCTCAGCAGCCCAGAGTTGGGGAGGGGCAAGGTTCATGAAATCAGAGGCAGGGGACCCTTCACTGGGGACCCTCAGCTGGGGGGAGTCAGGGCATAGCTAAGCCCTAATCTCCACTCAGGTAAAGGCTCAGAGTCCAGATTTCTGCTCACCTTGGCCATGGGGTAAATCCTAACAGGGTCTCCATCTCCATAGCGGCTGGGGGCTGGGTGGCTCCTGTCCAGAGCTCCCATTGTCCAGGCAGGAATTTGAGACCCAAGAGGACCAGGTTCAAGGTCACACAGCTGATGCCCTGCCAAGGATCCCACACCTGTCCCAGGTGCTGACACCTCAGCACCCCTTCTGGGCTCCAGGCCAAGCAGGAGGGGGATCCCTCCCGCCATTCTGCTGATTCGGCAACTGCTGACTCAGCCCTGGAGGAAGCAGAGCCAAGGACTGGTACCAAGGGGAGCCCAAGGGTCCTCCAGCTCCATCACACCTGGCTGGGGAGGGTGCTACGGTGGAGGTGGGGTGGCTCTCCAAGCAGCTCAGCATCCAGGGAAGGCCCACACAGGGAGTTCCTAGCTGGGGAGCACAGGGCTCTAGGTAGAAAGGACTCCAGATTGGTGTCCCCCCCACTCCCCATCCCCACACTGGCTGGTGAGCCACCTGATGACTATCTGCGAACCTAAACACCAGATGCACACGGAGGAATCCTGGGACCACCCGGCACTCTGGGCCTTCTTCCCAGGGTTCTTTTGATAGGCACCCACCCTGGTCTGGAGAAGCCCCACCTCCGGCACCTGCCTTAACTAAGGAAGAGACGACACCCCCTCCCCACCCCGGCCGCCCTCCAATACTCTCCGCAGCTCCAACAAAATCCGACCTTCTAATAATCCCCTTTAGTACAGCCCAGGAACAAAGACACCCCACTTCCTGGGGGCAGAGTGGTGCATCTGCTAAGTCTGGGCGCCCCTCTGCACTAGGTTTCACGATGGGCATGGGGCCTCTAGCCCCGTGAGGGCGGACCTGCCCCAATACTGGGTCTTAGACGAGACAAGAGCGCCCCCCCCCCGCCCACCTCACGGGCCCTCCCAGGCATGCGGCCCTCCCCCCTCCCACGTGCGGTGCGCCCCTCACCCGGGACCCGACCCGGGGTACTCACACGTCCTTGGCGGGCAGCGCCCGACCCTCCACCACGCGGACATTCAGGGAGCTGCTCTTGGCCATGGCGCCCAGCCCCAAACTTTAAGCGCCGAGGGGTGCCCAGGTGCCGAGGCTGCACCGCGGAGGGGGCGTCTACATGTCACCAGCTGCTGTCCCGGGGTCCCAGCGCCGCCGAGGCGAGCCGCGAGGAGCCAGGCGGGAGCTTTCCGGAGGAGCAAGAACGGGTGTCCAGGGAGGGGGAGCCCCTCGCACTCCACAGGTAGGAGGTGCGCGCGGAGCAGGCAGGGCGCGCGCGGGGGGCACCGCGGCTCCAGCCTCGCAGTCTGGCGCTCCGGGTGGGCGGGCGGGGGGCGGGAGGGGCGACCCAGGGCCCTCCCCCCAATCCCGCCTCCCGCGTGCCTCCCGCCCGTCCCCGGGCGCCCTCGCGCGCCCTCTGCCGGCACCCCAGCCCAGCGCGGCGCGTCGGGGCTGCCGGGAGGGGGCGGCCCGCCCCGCGGCGTGGGGCTCAGAAGACCCAGCGCGCCCCGCCCGCCCCCGCCCGCCCCCGCCCGCCCGGCGCCGCCTGCTGGGCCCCGGCTCCGCGCCCGCTCGGGAGCGGTACCCGCGGGGGGCGGGGGGCGGGGGGCGGGAGGCGTCGCTAACGAGGGAGTCGCACCTGCGGCGGGGCCGGGGGCGGGGCGGGGGGGGGGGGACGCTGCGCGGGAAGAGCGTCGGTCCCGAGGCAGGGGAGGGGCCTCGCGCATCCCCTTCGCTCTCGTTTAGTTTCCAATTAAACCCGGACTGTGGGACCGGCGACGGCTCGCGCGTCACGGGCTGGCCCCGCGGGGGAGGCGGCCGCGGCCGGAGGGGGGGGGAGGGGAGGGCAGGGGAGGGAGGGAGGGGAGGGCAGGCCAGGCCAGGCCCGGCCCGAGGACAGCCAGGACAGCGGAGACCCGAACACTTACCGCGCCGGCACCGTTCTGAGCGGCTCACGTCCCCGCCAGTATTCTCCGCGCTAAGTCCTGATGCACCATCGCCCCCTTTCTACGGGCACAGAAACGGGTTCAGAGGCATTAGATGGCCCGGGGAAGGTGGCAGGCAGGAATCGGCTGGCTGTCCTGGATTTGAATCCTGACTCCACCACTTGCTGGCTGTGTGGCCTTGAGCAAGTCACCGAACCTCCTCTCTGTGCCCTGGCTTGCTTTCCTCATCTGTTCAACAGGAGTAACTATTTTGCTCACAGGGTTTTGAGAGAATTCGATGTGTTAAGGCAGGTATGAGAGAAGCAGATACAGTCCTCAACACAGTCACAGGCACACAAGCAGCTTATGGGAAGCATTTGCTACTATTATTATCACTATTGCCCTTCCAGGCATAACTCAAATGTCACCTCTTCTAGGAAGACTTCCAAGATGCCCTTCCAACCCAGACAGAGTTTTTCTTCTCTTTTTTTGCTGCTCCTCAGCTCAGCAAGTTTCAAAACTTGTAGTCTGAAAAACACAGTCGAAACAATGTGACAGGAAGAGCCTGTCCCAGGGCAGGTACTTACTCTATTTCTCCCCCACGAGTTTGTTGTGTACCTGCCTAAGAGTTCTTGGAAGAGCTGGCACCAAGCCTTACTCACCTGGGTCAGCCCAGGGCTGGGCACCAATGAGAAGGCCCCAGCAGAATGACTACAGCAGCCCACGCCCAGACAGGTGGGACCAGGAGGGCCCGTGGCCCAGCCACTGGAGTAGCCAGTGGTCTGCCTCCCAAGCTCCCTCCCCGACTTCCCACCCAGCAATCCTGCCAAGCTGGTAAGGGATTCGATCCCTGGAGTTCTCTCCCCAGCTGGCCACTGTCTGCTGAGTCCTCCAACTTCCAAAGACTGGGCCTCAGTTACCCCATCTGGGATATGGGTCTAGCAGGGCTGGCCCCAAGGCTTAGAAGTATTGCAGCATCCTTCATCAGGGTACAAGAGGTGATCCAGGGTCGGATCCAGAACCCCAGTAACCCCAAGGAAGTGTTAAATACCAGTAGTCCCCTCCAGGTGCCTTACTAGTCACTCCAGATCCTTCCCAGGGGAAAATGGTAGTGCTCGCTATTCAAGACAAGCGCTCTGTCCATTTTCCACCCCAACCCAGATGAGAGCTTTTGGCTAACCTCTTTTCTTCTGAGATCCTGCAGAGATCTCAGATAGGCTGTCCAGCCCCCAGGGACCCCTGATGGAACCTGAGGGCCTTGGTCCTGGGGCCACCTGGGATGCCAGCCAAACTGCCACCAGCCAACTCAGCCAGTCTTGCAGAGCTGAGCAGGAAGTCACATTCCCAGACGCCCCTCCCCAGGCCCCCAGGGAGGTTATGAGGGCTATGGAATGTGCCAGCCAGGCCTCCAGGGGGCTAGCTCTGTCACCTGTCCAATAACTGGCATTAGACCCTGAAACGCGCCTGGGGCTGTGGCCACAGTCCTCAAACTTTCCGAATGGCTCGGCCACTTCCTGTTGTTCTGAGAAGCTTTGACTTGAAACTGGCAGAGGGTTTGAGGTCTCGCAGGGCAGCTCCTGTCAAGGGACCAAAGGGGGAAGGGGGGCGAGAGAAGGAGTGTGACCTGCTGGAGGCTACCCAGCTCAGAGAGGGGAGGGTGGGCTTATGAGCACCCAAGCCTGGGCTGTCATGTGGGAAGGGTTTCACCTTTCCCAGGGCTTGTTGTGAGAGTTGATCAAGAGGCAGTGTAAGGCACCCAGCAGCATTCCTGGCACAAAGTAGGTGCTCAAGGAATAGTTAGCCTCTCCCCCCTCCTCTTCCCCTAAGCCCTTAAAGACAAACCTATAGTCATCTTCTTGCCAACTCCCTACGTAGTCTAGCACCTCTGGGATGCGCACAGCAAGTGCTGCATAAAACCTGAAGTGGCAGGAGATGCTGAGCTCAGTAATTAAGAGCAGAGGTTTTAGCATCCAGCCAAGCCAACCCAGGATGGAATCATGGCACCTACACTTATGAGCTGGGTATTCTTGGGCACCCTCTGGGTGCCTTGGTTTCCGTATCTGTGTATTGGAGATAATAATAGCACCCACCTCATCGTGTGGGTGTGAGGATGGGATGAAAAGAAGTCAGATGTTTAGCACAGCCGGGCACCCAGCCGGGTTCAGTGTCACGGCCATAGTAGGACTCCTGAACCCACTGCTGTGCCTGACACTGACCTCCTCTAGGTGGAACACCCGGCCTCACCCCGAATTCCAGGGATGGATGGAGCAACCATGCCTCATTAGCCAGCGTGGCTCCAGGCTGCTGAGCTGAAGGAATCCGGAGCCTTGCATCTCAGCTGAGAAATCTGATTGGGAGATCCCCAGGTCAGGCTCTTGTACCCTGATGGGCCCTACTGCCCAGAGTTTGCTGAGTCTCCCGTCACTTCACCTGAGAGGCTGGGCCTGGGACGCAGGGAGAGCTCCAGACACAGAGTAGAGGGAGCACCTCGTCTCAGAGCAAGAACCAGGGATGCGCACTACTGCCTGTTCCTGAGGGCCAGCTGTGCCCATGGCTTTGCAACTCGATGTTCAGCAATGCCACTGTGGGAACCTGAAACCGTTCATGGTAGGAGAATTTACCCCCATGGAAACTGGCAAATGCTACCATGCGGGCAAGGGGGAGTTGGAGGGTCAGCTTAACAGCACACCACTGGGCACCAGATGCCCCGACCACATAGCCTTCTAGACACCACTCCTGAGCTCAGTACTCTTAAGATTTTACTTGCATCCCCCCGCCTGCCGTGCCCACAGTGCCCTTGCCCTATCCTGCCTGCCATCAGGAAAGCCCTTCCTCCACCCCTTTTTGTACCTGGTTCCTTGTTGTTGTCCTAACCATACAACTGAAGAAAGATTAGGAGTGGTGGGGCTAACAAAGCATAGACAAATGTCATGGAATACTATGTAGCTGTTAAAAAGGATATATTCAAAGACTTTGAATGACGGAAAAATGGTAAAAATGCTAAAAAAGAAACACAGGTAATGAGGAAAGCACAACCATTTACACAGCGTGATCCTGCTGCCACAAAGTATTATATGGATGTTCTTTGCATGAATATTCCTTTTATTCAACAGGTCTGTGTTGAGTGCCTACTGTGTCCCAGGCGTGGGGACACAGGGAGGTGTGTGACAGCCCAGCCTGGCTCTCCCAGGGCTCTCGGTGGCGTGTGGAACTGGCAAAAGCAGCAGGCAGCTGAAGAAAACACTCTTGGTAGGAAGCAGGGAGTGATACGCAGCCGATAAAGCAGGCATCAGAGTGGGGCAGGGGCTGCAGGCTTCCCTACACATAATGACGTGTGCTTCTTTCATCATCCGAAAATACTTCGAGCTGCCTTTCTGAAAGCACCACCTCCCGGGCTTTGTTGATGGCCCACAGCCTCCGGGGAGCCCTGGAAGACGCCTGGGGAGGCAGCCACCACCACCGCCCCCACCCCCCCCACCCCTGCCTGTTGGCACCATTCCGTGACCTTGGTCTCCTGTTCTCTTGTTTTGTGGTATTTTACACGCTCGTCGTATCTCTTAAATGTCAGGGACAATGTCTGATTCATGCCGCACCTCCCACACCGCTTGGCACATAAGAATGAGACTCAAAACACACTCGCGGGGTTAAACAGAATTCTGTTCCCCTCCAGGGCTGGAAGCTGGCCTCTCGTGTGATAATGGTCGTATTATTTGTTAGTTCCTCTGTCCCCATGGTACCTGGGGTGGCAGCATAGTCACTGCCAGCTTAGCACCTCTCTGCTACACCTCCACCCCCCAAGCAGGTGGAGCCCCTCTTCTGGCTCCACAGACCCGTCTGCCTCTGGGCCTCCGTTCCCCTCCCTGGAAAGTGGCACCATCCCTTCTGCGGCCGAGGTGCGGGCAAGGCAGGCCAGTCCTGGCCCAGGTTGGGGGTGAGGAGCGTGTTCTTTGTCTCAGGCACACAAAGCCCCGTTTGTGATCGCTGGGCACGATTCTGGGCAGGGAGCCATGGGGGACAGGCGGAGTGGGCAGGACGGCCGCAAACCCTCCCGCGGGCTGGCTGCCGAGGAAGCAGGAGGTGCCCTCCTCCCACAGCCTGAAACAAGGTGTCCGTCTGTCAGTCTGAAGCTCTGCTTCCTCCTTCTTCAGCCCTATCGCCAGGGTGCCCCCCGCCCCGCCGCCCTGCCTTGGAATGGAGAAGTAGGAAGGGGAAACCACCCAAGCATGAGACTTGGGGGTGGGGAGGGCGGATATTTCCAGAGCTGTGCGTTGTCGTGGCCAAGGGCAAGGCCAGCTGAGAATCTGTGTCCTGCTGTCACTCAGCAGCCCCATCTCCCCTATCTCCCAGGATGTGGGGACAGATACGGGATGGTGGGGGGACTTGGAACCTCTGCCTCAGCAGCATAGCAGGGGAGCTCCAAGAGGCCCTGCGGAGTGGACCCATAGCTTCAGCCTTCTGAAGACAGGCTGTTTGGGCAGGCACCTTTTCCTCTCTTCGAAGCCATGAGCAGTTCAAGGCAAGGATCTCTTAAAAACAAAGCTAAGGCCCATCACTTCTCTGCCTCATGTCCCCAGAGACTCATTTAACTCCCCTAGACCTCAGTTCCCTCATCTGTTCCTGGTCACAGGTCTGGCCCTCCTTGGCCCTATCCAGTCATGACCTATCCCATCATCCTTGAATTCTGCACACCAACCTACAGACCTTTGTTCTTTTCTAGGATGGTGGGGTGGGGGGGGTGGGCACATCCTCCTGCCTCAGGGCCTTTGCAATGCTGTTCTCTCTACTTGGAATACTTTTCATTTCTTCTTCTCACCCCTCCTCATCCTTCAGGTCTGGGTTCACATGTTACTTCCTCAAAGAGGCTTCCCTTCTGCTTCTTGCATCCTAGAATTCTCCCCCTAGACTCCCCAGCAGCCTGTATGCCCCACAAGGGCAGGTTCTGGCTTCTCCACTGCTATATCCTCACACGGTGCCTGGCACAGAGTAGGTGCTCAATAAACAATTGCCCCCCCCCAAAAAAAAAGCCTCTAAAAGAATAGAAATTCAAAAGGGAAAAGATGCATACTATCTTCAAGATGATGACACCTTCTGGAGAGGGAAGGAAAGGAATGAGCCTGAAGAGGAAAAGATCTAAGAAAAGCCCATCTGTATCTGCAGTATTGTGATTAAGAGGGTGGGCTCCACACCCAGGTGGTCCGAGTTCAAATCCCACCTTAGACGTGACTCAATACATAAAGGAAAAAGTGGCAGATAAGATCATCAAAATTTAAAACCTTGCTTGGCAAAAGATTATGTGAAGAGAATGAAAAGATTAGCTACAGCCTGGGAGAAAATATCCAACAGAGGACTATCTGGAACATGGAGACCTGTATCTAGAATATATAAAGCAGTTCTCAAAATTCAACAGCTAAGAACAATTCATTAGAACATAAGTAACAGGGGCAGCCCGGGTGGCTCAGCGGTTTAGTGCCACCTTCGGCCCGGGGCCTGTGGGGGGCCCCGGGTCAAGTCCTCCGTCAGGCTCCCTGCAAGGATCCTGCTTCTCCCTCTGCCTGTGTCTCTGCCTCTCTCTCTCTTTTTCTCTCATGAATAAATAAATAAAATATTTTTTAAAAAAGAACATAGGGCAACAGATATCTTGCTGAAGAGGATATACAGATGGCAAATAAGCACACAAAATGATGTTCATCATCATTACAGCTGGGTAGAGGATGCCAAGTAAGACCACAATGAGACATCACCACACACCTAGTGGAATGGCTAAAGCAAAAATGGTGATGATCGCAAGGATGCAGAAAAGCTAGATCATTCATACATTGTCAGTGGGAACTTAAAATGGTATAGCCACTCTGGAAAAGACTACAGCAGTTTCCTTAACAATCGTGCTGGTGGGCATTTATCCTGGAGGGATGAAAACACGCTCACACAAAAAACAGGACCTGAATCTTCATAGTGGCTTTTTTCATGACAGCCCCAAACTGCAAATAACCCAAATGTTCTTCTACCTGAAGCTTAACCAACTGTGGCACATCCATCCCATGGCATGCTACTCAGCAATCAAAAAGAATAAACACTGATGCATGTAGCAGGTAGGATGGATCTCAAGAGAATTAAGCTGAGTGAAAAAGCCAGTCTCTAAGGTTACATACTGTACAATTCCACTTATATAACATCCTTGAGGTGACAAAACTGTACAGATGGAGAACAGGTACTCAGTTGCCAGGGGTTCAGGAGGCAGGAGGGAGGGAGATGGTCCTGGCTATCAAAGGGTAGCATGAAGGATCCTTTTGAGAAATGTTCTGTATGTAGCCTGATTGTGGCTGTAACAGAAGTCCACGTGTGATAACTTTGCCTGCAATGAAACACACACACACACACACACACACACACACGATTGAGTGCATGTAAAACCATGAGATCTGAACAAGCTTGGTGGATTGTATCGACACCAATTTCTTGGTTGTGATATTGTACTGTAGTATACAGGATGGAACCATTGGGGAACACTGGATGGAGAGAAACGGGATCTTCCTGTGTTACTTCTTCACCTGCATTTGAATCTACAATGATCTCTAAATAAAAAGTCTTCCAAAAAAAAAGTCTTCCAGGAGCTACACATCTATTAGAATGACAAAAAAAAAAAAAAAACCCACCAACAATACCAACTGGTAGTATTGGATATGGAGCAACGAGACTGTTCATGTATTGCTGGTGTGAATATAAAAATGATACGGCCACTTGGAAAAAGTTTGCAGTTTTTTTGTACAGTTAGGCATAGACCTACCATATGACTCAGCAATCCTACTCCCACGTATTTATACAGAGCAGAATGAAAGCTTATGTTCACACACAAAAAAAAAACTGTACATGAACACGGGCTCTCTTTGTTAATTGCCCAGAACTAGAAGTGACCCAGCTGGAGGCTGAATAAACAAACCATGATATATAATCAAATACTACTCAGCAATGAAAAAGAATGAAATATGGGTACACACATCAACATGAATGGATCTCAGATGAACACTTCTGGGTTATAGAAGCCAGACTCATTCCATTTCTGATATTCTGGAAAAGGCATGATTACTGGGCTAGAGAACAGGTCAGTGGTTGCCAGGGGCTAGGGTGGGGACAGCGTTGATTATGAAGGAGCATGGACTTTTGGGGTTGGTGGAACACTTTGTATCTTGACAGCAGTGGTATGCATTTGCCAAAACTCATAAAGCCCATACATGGGAAATAAAATTTTACATGATGTAAATTATACCTCAATATTTTTAAATCAAGAAAAAATTAGGTCATGTATCTTATAACTTTACATTGATTTATGCAGAAGGATATATGTATGATTTAATGCAACATGCTCAAGGAGAAAAATGTACATTATTTTAGCTCCTTCCTAAAAATATTTAAACAAGGAGTTGTTTTAAGCAATGTAGGCATTATAAATATAGCTTTTTTTCTAATAGCATTATTCTCCAATAAGAAAATACATTTCTTTACATGATAAAATAAATAATTTAAAACATAAAAGTAAAGCGATAGAAAGTAAAGATGATGAGATGCTAGCGTGTGTTATTTCGTGACTTTTCCTATGGTATTTGCAGTATTACTCTGGGCACTTTTCCCTAATACCACCCCCTGGAGTGCTTGCTGTCTTAAGAATTAAATTGATATTATATAGAGAGTGTCTAGCACAGTGTTTGAGCAACAGTAATTGCTCAGAGTATATCAGCTGCTCCCCTACTACATCCTCCAAATCTAGATCATGGGGCCCTTCCAAGCTGGACTCCGCTGGGCAGTGATCTCTGTAACCAGGCTGGGGGTTCCATGAGACTTGGCCAGGGTAGCCCTATCCCCCAGCAAAGGAAGCTGACCTTCAAAGGGATGGAACATAATAAGCCCTCAGCACCTTGCCAGGGGGTGAATGATCCTGCCCAGGACCTGGCCAACAGTGGATGCCCAATAATTATTCTTTTGAACGGACAATTGGCGTACAGCTACGATAAGAGGCGGTCCCATCCCACCAGCCAGGAAGTGGCTTGACCAGGAAGACATGGGGTACCAAGAGGGGAAATTTTTGGCTGAGGGACACACCTCCTCCTCACCGCACCCCAGTTTAGATTGGGAGTTAAAGCTGGCTCTGGAATCAGCAGAGCCTGTTCTGCTCCCAGGGGCCCCCTCTGTGCTCCCCCAGGATGGATGCCCCTGGCCTCAGGCAGGCAACGGAATGTTGTGTGGTTGGTTGCCCCGGCAACCAAGGCCTGCTAGGTGGCTGCCTTCTTAGAGTACCGAGCACGCTGCCTCGCTGCCCTCCATCAGAAACCCCCAGGGCCTCCTGAGCTAGTGCAAGACTCCGGCCTTGTGGGAAAAAAGCCCAAGAAAGCCCGGGGCAATTGCCGGGAGGATGGCCGTGCCCTGGGAGGAATATTTCCGACTGGCCTTGCAAGAGAAAATATCTTTGTGAGTGCTTCAGAATGCAGGGAGGGGTGGAAGGAGGGCAGAAGCCGGTGGGATGACCCATGCCTTCCCCTTGCCTGTGGCGCCTGGCTTCCTTGGGCAGTTCCTGGTGGCATATTACTGTCCCCACTTCACAGAGGAAGAAACTGAGTCTTAGAGGAAAATGATCTCTGGCCGGTTAGGACAGCGCTAGTTAGGGCAGAGCTGGGTTAACAGCCAGGGCCTCTCATCTGTTCCTGATCCCCACCCCTGGCTGACTTCCAGCTGAGGTTAAATCGTTTGAACTGAGGTGGGAAGGAATTCTGTGAACTCCTGCAAACTCTGCATTTTCAAGGAAGCGGGGAGGAAGCTTGTCGGGTGCCTGCTTTGTGCTCAGCAGTGACTGAGTCTCGAGCTCTGTGTCAGAGTCTGGACCGGTGCTGGGAAAACCCTGCTGAACAGAATGTTCAAGCATCCCTTCTGCTGTCTACACAGCCACTGTGGAGGGCTGTGTGCAGCTCCCCCGCCCCACTGCCACACCCCAGCAAGTCTCCAGATCCCAGCCTCCTCCTAGAGCCCTCCCAGGGAGGTCGAGGGGAGGTCTAACAGTCTTCCAGCCACGCACAGCTCCGGGCGGCCGCAGCAAGGACCTGATCTTCCGTGTCCCATTCAGCTTCCCACCAGCACTCTCCTTCCAGCTCTGAGTTCACTTTTCTCTCCCTTCTCACCCCCCATCACTGCACCAACTCTGCTCTCAAACTACAGCATGACTGACCCTCCTCACCTCTCCCCTCCAACTACCGACCAGAACTACTCTGTCTCTGTGTCATCCCAGACCCCCGTCACTATTTCCTGCCAACTGCCCTGCCTCTCCTGTTAGTCCTCGACCCCCACAGCAGCCTCAAGCACCTTCTACAAACCAAGCTTTTCCCTTGGGGCCTTGGTATTGGCTGTTCCCTGTAGGTATCCACGTGCTCACTCCCTCTTGCCCCTCAGTTCTCTGCCCAGATGACCTCAGGGTCTCCCCGGAGAAACTTTTTCACCTCCTTGTTGAAAGATTTCCTTTTGCCTAATTTTTCTCTGAGCACCTATCAGGTCCAAGCATTATTTATCATTTGTTAGCTTTGTTTTCTGTGGACCCCCTCAGCAGAACACCGGCTTCTGGAAGGTGGGGATTTTTGTCTGCCTTGTTCACACCTACACCCCGCTCCCCAGTGCCTGGAAGGTGCCTATACATGGAATAGGTGCTCAGTACAATTTGTTGAATTAATGAACAATTCAGCAGCTAGTTTATGGCTCACGGGGGCATTTCAGGCACTAGAGGGGAATTTGGGGCCCTGACTCTTGCCTCCTTCATCCCCACCTCCTCCTTGAGCCCCTCCAGGAAGATCCCAGGGCAAAATGTGGAGCACCTCCCACCAGTGCTGCATCTCCTGGAGAAGAGGCGGGAGCTGGTGGATGTGGACCGGAGCCTGCAGGCCCAGAAGGAGGTGAGTCTTCTCTGCAGTCCCTGAGACTTTTTGGAACCCCCTCCCCCCCAAAAAATGGTGAGCTAGTTGGGAAGTGATGGAACCAACTTATGAGCTACAGGGTCTGACAGGTTATTTTATCACTCTGAGCCTTGGTTTACTCATCAACGATCAAATGAGGATCAAATGAGATCAGTTGGTGCAAATAAATGTGCACTGAACACCTACTATGTGCACGACACTACCCTGGGATCTAGAAGTCTCATTGCAGTCCTCGCCCTCATAGGGCTCACAGTCTAGAGAAGGAGACAGACAAGTTCTGGGTGATGACTGCTTCAGGCGGGGAAGCACTGAGAAGACTGTGGGAGCCCAAAGGAAGCCCCTGTCTCCACAAGAGGGTGGTCAAGGAGGCATTCCTGGAGGATATAATGTCTGGGGACCAGGGACGAGCAAGTGAGCTTATTCAGCAAAGGCAGGTAGGGTGAGGAGGGATAAGCAGGCAGGGGGAACAGTGCATTATCCTGGAAGGCAAGGACAGAGCACAGGTGGATGAGGGTCTGGAAGACAGGGGAAGGGGGTAAGTGAGGCTAGAAGGAAGGAGAGGCATGTCCCCATGCAGGGGCTCCGGGAGGGCATTCAGGCTTCATCAAGTGAGGTGAGAGCCAATGGGTGGATTTGGGCTGCGGTGTAGGACAGGATCAGGGACAACAGATGACAGAAGTTAAGAAGTCTTGGGATGCCTGGGTAGCTCAGCAGTTGAGTGTCTGCCTTTGGCTCAGGGAGTGATCTCATGGTCCTGGAATCGAGTCCCGCATCGGGCTCCCTGCATGGGGCCTGCTTCTCCGCCTCTGTGTGTGTGTGTGTGTGTGTGTGTGTGTGTGTGTGTAAATAAAATAAATAAATAAATAAAATAAATTTTAATAAATAAATAAAATATTTTTTAAAGATTTATTTATTTATTTATTCAGAGAGAGCGAAAGAGAGGCAGAGACACAGGCAGAGAGAGAAGCAGGCTCCACGCAGGGAGCCCGACGTGGGACTCGATCCTGGGTCTCCAGGATCACACCCCGGGCTGCAGGCAGTGCTAAACCACTGCGCCACCGGGGCTGCCCTAAAATCTTTTTTTTTTAAGTTTAAAAAAGAAGTCTGAAAGCGCTGGATAACTTGAACCCCCCAATACACACAGACACCCCCTCCTCGCCTCTCCGCAGGTGTTCCAGACCACGATGGCAGTGCTGAAACAGCGCTGGGAACAGGTGAAACAGAAGGAGCGGGAGCTAAAGGGATCTTTTGTCCACTTTGACAAGTTCTTGCAGGTAGGTGGAGACTGCTGGGGCCAGGGAGAAGCAGGCCATTGGGTCACAAAGTCACAACCCTGTAGGGGCCAGACTCGCACAGAAATTTTAAAACTAGGCTTACCAATACAAGGAATAGTAGGAGGTACACACGGCATGATGCATGTGAGTTTTTAAAGAGCTTGGGGAAGAAGTGAGGGACAAAATCAGACTGGTGGAAGCTACCCACGGGCCATCTGTTTGCTACCTACCGCTGGGCGTGCAAGTGTTGGGGCCGGGGGAAGCGGTGAGCCCCGCCGGCTCCCGAGTCCCAAGTCGTGCGGGCGCTCGCCTCCTTTCCATCCGCCTCCCCAGGACACAGAGGCCCGGCGCAGCCGCGCACTGCAGAGGGCGGCAGAGGAGCGGCGGCGGGCGAGCCGCCAGGAGGCCGAGGCGCTACGGCTCCGGGCCCAGCTGGAGAAGCTGCGGGGGGAGCGCGCGGAGCTGCAGCACCGGCTGCTGCGCCTGGAGCCCTGCGCGCGCCTGCTGGGGCAAGTGCTGGAGCTGCTGCCCGAGGTGAGCGCCCTGCGGGAGGCTTGGGGCCTCGGCGCCACCGAGCAGCAGCGTCCAGTAGCCTCTGGGACCGCTTTGGGTGTGCACTACTGGAGCGCTGACTGTATGCCAGGAACCACCACTTATTGAGCACTGACTGTATCCAGGGACAAGATTTGCTCTTGAATTCTCCCCAATGCCCAGTGACATGAATCCCACTCTCGTCAACTTCATTTTATAAATGGGGAAACTGAGGCTTGCCATGGTAACTTCCACTCAAGGACACAGGCACTCCATAAATATCCGTTGAATGGAACAATTGCAGGTAGTGAAGCTTGGCTAGGCTTTATGCTGGAGTGGCCCTCAGTCTGGGATAGGCACTGTGTGATGCCCTCATTTTGCACATGGGCTAACCGAGGAGGCGCTGGAGGGCCAGGTGGCCTGCGGAGGGCAGGGGCCTGCAGGCCACCTGAGGTCCACATCTTGACCCCACCCCAGTTCCAGAGGGTTCCCGAGCTGGTGGCTCGCTTTGAAGGCCTGGCTGATATGCAGGTGGCACTGAGACTCACAGAGCGCCAGCGGCTGGAGGAGCTGGAGGAGGCCCGCGGGCGGCTGCAGCAGCTGCGGGACGCCTGGCAGGACGAGGTGCTTAGGCAGAGCCAGCAGCGAGTGCAGCTGCTGGAGCGCCTGGAGGCTGCGAGGGAGCGCACACTGTGCTGGGTATGGGCCCGGGAGGAGGTGGGCACTAGGGACCCCAGCCTCTCATCACTAGAGGAATGCTGGGGTTCCTAAAAGCAGAAGGGAGCTGCCCTAACGGGGCCATCAGAAAAGGCCTTAGGGCACAGGAGGCCAGTCCTCGCAGAACCTGACAGCCAGTTCCTGCATTTCTCTTTCGGAGGCACCCATGCACACCTAACTGGAGCAAAGTGGATGGGCCCCAGCCTTCCCGGGCAGGTTCAAATCTTGATCTGGGAGGAGATTCTGTTCTTTAGGAATCCAAGTGGATTCAGATCCAGAACACAGCGGCAGCGAAGACCCTTCTCCTGGGACGCACTAGAATGGCAGCGCTCAACCTCTTCCAGCTAGTGTGTCAGCACAAGAGGCAGCCACCTGCCCTGGACATTGAGGACACCGAAGGGCAGCTAGAGCAGGTGAGCCCCCTCTTTATGTCCCTTCCCACTCCCAGACCTTCGGGAACTTCACAATGCCTGAAATCTCATCTACTCTGGGTTGAGTATGGCCCTCTGGGAGCTGAACGCACACTTCTGACACCACAGATGTGGACTCCATGGCCATCTGGGGACCCTGCCTAGGAGGCCTGGGTTGGTCTTGGCTCCGATGGGCATTTGCTCTGTGGCCCCAAAAAGTCATGCTCCTCTCTGGACCTCAGGGCTCTCCAAGGGCTGGGGTGTGTACTGATGACACCGCACATTCATGACAAGAGTCTGTCTTTTGTCCCAGTGTCAAACAGCACAAACAGGTGATATCAATGAGAAACTGGATTGAGACTCACCTTTAATCAATACCTGACCCCCCTGTCCTGAGGCATGGACAGGCCTCAGCTTCCCTAGGGAGGGAGAGGGAGCGTGGGGCTGTGTCCTTGTCCTTCTTTCTGTACAAATGTCACTATGGGCCAAGTCATTCAGGTTTGCAAAGCTGCAGAACATGTGACATGGCTTACAACGGAGGGAAGGGGTTTCTGACTTTGGACACCTCTGTTGCTTTTTTTTTTTTTTAAGATCTTATTTATTTATTCATGAGACACAGAGAGGCAGAGACATAGGCAGAGGGAGAAGCAGGCTCCCTGTGGGGAGCCCACTATGGGACTCGATCCCTGGACTGGGATCACACCCTGAGCCAAAGGAAGACGCTCAACCCCTGAGCCACCCAGGCATCCCACCTTTGTTGTCTCTAATGGGAACCCAAAGCATGGCCCCTTTCAGTAGAAGAAACAAAAGAAAGGCACCCCTGCCCATGCAACTCCTGTCCTGTGCCCATCACCCCAGATCCCAACCAAACATCAAGAACTTCGGCCCCAGGAGCCTACTTTGTGCCATATGCTGAGTGGAACAGGTTCACCTACACCACTTGTTGTCCCAAGGGTGGCCCGGCACCCTGCGGTACGCAGGACGAGTCCAGGGACAGAGGCTCAATGTGACCAAGTGAGCAGAAGCCTGCCCTTTCAACCAACCCTGAGCCCAAGGAGGAAGGCTGTGCGGGTGATTGCTTTAGTCCCACAGTGCTCCCTGGGCTTGGGCCTCACCTGATGCCCCCTGCAGGTGACGGCGGTGGGGGGAAATGCAAGAGCACAGCAGGGCTTCAGTTCATAGCAGTTTGTCCAGTTGCCTCTCTACTTATGACAAGTATAGCTTAATTCTTTTCTATTTTTGTTAGAAATATAGTTTCCTTTTCAAATGTTTCAGTGACAAACGTGAAGGGAGAGCCCAAGGGTAAGTTTGCCTCAGGTTCTAGCTCTTGCCAGTGGACCCAGGGGCATTAAGTTCCTATCAATAAATAATTAAAATATGGGCATGTTAACCCCATGGAGATGAGAGCAGGTCAGCCACCAAGGAATATGACTGATCCAATTAAAATGGGAAAAAATGAATTAATGTTAAGTGAAAATACACATTTAATTAGAATGCAGGTGATAGATAACCAGCTAGGAAACTGGGGGTGTCTGCTCACAAACCATTTAGAGGCTTGGACCGAGGCCGAAAGGACCCAGAACAGTCTAGGGGAGGTTTGCTGGTCCCAGGGAACCATCATCATAGCTTTATTAGGGGTCTCCACATCCCCTCCACTCTGCAGCATCCTACGTTGTATTTGTGGGGGGGTGGAACTGGACACCCAGGGGCTGGGATGTGACTGCTGTGTTGGGGACCCACAGGTGAAGCTTTTCATACTGGACCAGTCCTCCATGCTGACCAGTTTTCGTCGGGCCCAGTCCAGCCTTGACCCAGGTGAGCAGGGGGGCAGGGGGACCCCTGAAAAGGAGGTATACATTTCCTGCAGGGTGTGTGCCGAGTGGTGCCCACCTGAGATGGGAGGGCCATGCTCGCTCAGACTGCCGTGCGGAGTACAGGAGGGGCATATAGCAAGTGCTAAATAAGTGTGCACTCGGTGGGGGGGGGGCACCAATCCCTCATCTGCCACATGGCCTAGGACCGGGTCCTCCCACCCAGGGCAGTCATGGCATTAAACAAGCTGATGTGTGTCAAGTGTCTGGAATGAAGCCTGATGCAAATTCTGGTACATTCTGAGTGTTTGGGAAGTAAAGTAAAATAGCCAGACTGGCGAGAGGGTCATACAGCAGGCACTTGCACAAAGCCTCCTCTACTGCGGACTGTTGCAGATGATTGGGGGCCTGAAAATCCAGCTGCTGGAGGCTACCTTTGACTGTCCCAGGACCCCAAACTGGGGCTGGGGGCACAGGGCTTGGAGGGCAGAGGCCGGGACCAATTCTGACTTCTGGGGGTGTGATGGAGCCATGTTAACTAACCGCTTTACAGCCGGAGGGGAGCCACTGAGCCCTCTGCCCCACACCCTGCTTCTCGCCTCCCTCCCGCAGCCCCCACTGGGTCTCTCAGCTCAGCAGGCACACCTGTTTTAATATCTGGGTCTGCCCCTTCCAGCTTCTTGGGTAGACTGCACTCCTTGTCCACTGGAGGTGCGTAATAAAGGTTTATTACATTAAAAATCCATCACTAGGCCTTAGGCACTCAGGGCTCAGAGCCATGTGGGCACCACCTTTGAGCTCAGGAACCACCCAGCACGCGTGGAAGCAGGAGCAACTCAGGTGTGGCCGCCTCGACCTCACCAGCAAACTCCTGGGAGCCCTTAAAGACTGTTAAAATGTCTCCGTCTCTGTCTTGGGCAGAGGCGGCTGCTGCCCTCCGTGGCCACACAGCGCTCTTCTTCAGGGTGTGCAGCGCCCGCAGGGAGCGCCACCAGCACCTGGCACAGGGCCAAGCACACGGTGGTACACGGGGTCATCTGCGATGTCCACCCTGACCCTTGGAGCATGCGAGGAGTCACAGGGCCGGGTCACCGCCCTCACATCCTCTTCCTCATCTTGCCCTTCTTGGAGGGGGCGCCCCGGCCAAAGGCGCCCCGCTGCAGCTCCTGGGCACGGCGCCGGTTGCGGGCAGAGAGCTGCTTCAGGCCCCCACGCTGCAGGAAGCGCAACTTCTGCGCGCGGCGCCGCTGTTTCAGAATCTGCTGCTTGGTCTTGAGCTCTGAGCGCACGCGGCCTGCAGGGGCGCCTGGGCTGCGGGGCTGGGCTGCACCTGCCAGGACGGGCATTCAGGGAGTTCAGCCATCGAGTCCACTCCCAGAGGCCTCCTCTGCCCAGAAGCCTCCAGACCCCTCACCCCCACCCCACTATGGTTCTGTCTTCATTGCTATGGCTCTGGGCTCTAGCTCACCATAGGTGCTAATAAAGCTTCCACAGTCTGCTGTACTGGTCAACAGCACGGAACCTCAGGCTAAACTGCTGGGGTTCAGGTTCCAGCTGTGACCTCTCGGAACTTGGGCAAGTCGCTTAACTCCTCTGAGCCTCCGTTCCCCACTCTGAATTAGAGATAATAGCACCTCTCTCACAGGTCCTAACGAGGAGCAGATGAGGAGGTGTGTACACTGCTCAGAACAAGAGGTAGCCCAGAGTAAGGGCCTCCTAAGTGTCCCATCATGATTATAGAGCATCCAGTGAGGATTTACTGAGGATGCGCTCTAAGCCAGGCCCTGGGGACCCAGCACTGACGAGAAAGACTCCGATCCCTGTCTCCAAGGACTGCATGCTCTAGGCTTGTTAGCTTAACTTATTTTGGCAGGACAGAGGTCAGAAAAGACCAGAGAGGGGAAGGGATTTGCCCAAGGTCACTTAGCAAAAGTGGCAGCAGCAGCAGACGTCAGGTCTCTGGGAAAGCACTTACCCTTGCATCCCTGGCTCCCCCAGCAAGCCCCGGGTCCTCCTCCTCTACCACGTTCCCTCTCCCTGCCTGGCTCTTCCCTTCCTTGGGCTCCCACACACAAGATCACAAAGGCGGCCCCGGATGTCTTCACAGGGGCCAGGGTACCTGACAGGGACCCGTCACCTCCACAGAGGACAAAGCAGGGAAGGAGAACACCTGTTCCTTCCTGAACCCCACCCCCCACCCCCGCAGGGCCCAGAGGAACAGCCTGCTCCAGCTGGGGTAAAACCAGGACTAAGCAGCAAGGGGTGAGAGGCCCGGGGAGGCAGGGGCATGTCTGCAGAGACACAGAGATGGAGACAGAGACAGAGACAGAGGCACCAAGAGGGAAAAGAGAGACTCAGAGAGACAGGGAAAGGGAGACAGCGAGTAGGAGATGCGTGTGTAGCAAGAGGAAAAGAGACAATGGAGGAGACAGATGGAGGAAAAGGAGACAAACGCAGCCTGAGGAGAAAGGAAAGAGGAGCAGAAACAGGGATGCAGAGTCGGGGATGGAAAGAGAACAGGGAACTGGAGAGAGAGAGCCTAGGAAATGATGGAGAGGAGGCTTCCGAGAAAAAGAGAGATGGAGACGGAGGGATGAAGGGAAGAGACCAAGCCAGCGAGGAGACACCAAAGGGAGAGGGGAGTGTGTGGAGCACCCAGGAGGCCTGGAGTGAGGCACAGAGGACCAGCCTAGGGGCTGGGACAGTGAACGGCCCCAGAGGCCATGAGCAGCCCTGCAGGATTGTGGGGAGACGGGGAGATGGCAGGACTAGGCCCCCCCCGACTCCCTCGGGAGCCACTCTGGTCCCCTCGCCTATAAGACAGCTGCTCTGTCTTCTCGCCACCAGCTCACAGGTGGCATGTCCAGCACAGAGCCTGTCCCCCCACAGGAAGGGGGAGCCTGCTGACCACAAGCTTGCCCCCAGAGGCAGGGGCAGGGCAGGGGCCATGGCAAAGGTCCTGAGCCCTGCCATCCCATGGCCCTTCTGCTCAGAGGGGCTTGGCACGCAGGGCTGCTGACCCAAGCTGTGGCTGCGAGGTATGGGCTCCAGCTGACAGAGCCCCTTCAAATCCCCCTGCAGCCTGAAGGGTTCAGGCCCAATCAAAGAGAACCAGGTCCTGGGATGATCCAATGCACCACTTGCCAACCTGTTTTGAGGACTATCCTACCTTGGCCTCTGCCCCGCTTTCCACCTCTTCGCTCTGGGCCTCGCTGGTGGGATGTTCCTTCCTCTTCTGAGTCACGATCATCAATTTTCTGTTTCTGTTTCCACTTCTGGTAGCTGGGAAGCTGCGTTAAGGAGGCTGCGTGCGTGACCATGATGCCCTAGATGCCAGTGGGCAGGGAGCAGATCCTGCATCCCCTCCAGCAGATCCAGGTACCACCGCTACAGAGTGGGGCAGCAGAAGCTGCTGGGCGCTGCCCCCCACATCCCGAGTACGCAGTGTCCTGGCCCTGATCCCACTCCCAACTCTAGGAGATGCAGAGGTAGAAGCTGCTGGGCCCCACCCCTAGCCCCACCCCTTGGGATACAGGTCCCGTTTGTAGGAGCTGCTGATGTAGCGCCCACTCTCTGTCTTGATCTTTTTCTTGTCTTCCTGTCCTGACTGTCCCACAAACCGCTTCTTCTTCCGGTCCCTGCAGGAGAGGGAGTTGAGAGAGCTACTAGGGAAGGAGATGGCCTGGAGCAGCCCTCTTCCCCTCGGCGCTTTTCCTCCCCACCTCCCCAAGGGAAGCAGCCTGCCAATGTCTAGCATACAGCAAGTGCTCTGCCCCTTGTCACCTCTTCCTGGAAGCCCAGGGCTCAAAAGGTGGTGTGGGGGTTATTAGGAATTGGGGGGCCTGGGTCCAGATTAAGGGCCCAAGGGGGGTTCCCAATCCTACACTGCCACCTCCTGGGTCTATGACCCTGGGTTGAGTACCATCACTTCTCTGGAACCAGAGTCCAAATGGGACAAATGTGTCATGAGCTCTGTCGAGAAAGACAAGCTAGCAAGAATGACAGATGGATTAAGATCCCTGTTGTGCACGATCAAGCCAAGGGGACAGGATGTGGTGAGGGGGATGGTGGGGTCACTGCCCTTGCTGTGTGTGATCACATGGGGCAGCACAGGAGGCATCACAACCCACGCTGTACACAATCAAATGGGGGGTGGTATTTCCTATTCTAGGGAAATAAATGGGAGTGGACAGTGCGGGGACCAACCACATGGCAGACATGTGGGCATGGGGGTGCATGTTTGCTTGCTTGCTCACTCACCACTTGAGCTGCTGCCGGCCCCTGGTCAGGTTCTGGGCTTCGTCCCCCATCAGGTCCAGGACGGCGCCAGCCACCTGCTGCTCAAATGCACCCCCATCCCCACTGATGCTCAGGCTGCAGAGGAAGGGTGGGGACATGTCATGGTTCAGTGGGGTGCCAATCAGGCCCTACCTGCCCCACCCCAGGACCAGCTGGCCACTCACCCCCGCTCGCTGTCAAAGTCCTTGGGCCGGTAGGGGACATAGAACTCCAGGTCCCGATGCCGGGCCTCCTCCCTCCGCCTCTTGGCTCCCCCTTCAGGTCCTGGCTGTTGCCGCTTCCGGCCCATGACCTCAGTGAAGACATCCTGGCAAACGGAGGCCCAGTGTCACACCTGCGGCCCCTAGGGAAGCCACCTGGCCTCTCCACCCTGCTGTCCAGCTAGAGTTAAGGACCAGGGGCTTCCAGGACTTTAAAAGTTTGGTATTGCCATTTGGACACTCTGCTTCCTCATCCACACTATGGGATGACCTCAGCACCAGCAGAGCATGCTGGGTAAGGGAGGAGGAGGCTGTGGTGCCAAGTGGGGCAAGACCATCCTGCAGCCCAGGCTGGTTCCTCGGGCTGTGTGACTAAGGCAAGGCCCTGCCCCTCTCTGGGCCTGGCCCTGCTCTATACAGCACGGACTAGCTCAGGAGTTTTCACCTGTACTTTTTGGCTACTGAGACCTCTGTCCAAACCAAATATAAGAGGAACATGCTGGTAGATGAGTAGGCTTAGGACACTGCTCACCAGGCGGACCAGGTGCCCTTGTACCCCAGCCTGCCTTTTGGCCTGAAGGCCCCATGTCTGAGGCTGTCTGTGTCATGCCCTCACTGTTGCCATGTGTCCCTGCTTGGCCTCTGTCTGCCTGCCCCAGATCTCAGTCTGAGACTGTCATGGGGAGGATGACAGTGATACAGCTGCCACTAGGAACCCTCCGGTGCTGCCCTGGATCTGCCCTGTGGGCCCAGGACCAGTCCCATAGTCACCTGGCCACAGTGCCCCCTAATCCACAAGGTTATGGAAATGAGCTTCCCTGAGATTCACTTGATGGCAGAAGCCACGCTTCTCAGCCAAGCTGAGCCGATAGGAAGCTGCCTGTCGTGGACGCTCTGATGCATCTGATTTGTCACCCTAGACCTCAGTGGGGTGGCATGCCATACGCAGTGCAGCCACCCTAAAGATTCCGGATCCTGAAACGCATCTGGCACCAGGGTTCTGGGCGAGAGATTGTGGAGCGGTCCCATGACCCCACTCTGCTAAGATTGAGGCTGAGGCTCTGAGTCCTTCATTTCCACATCACAGGTGGAAGTGGAGTCACGGTATCCACCCCAAGGACTCCTCAAAGCCCTGAGGATAACTCCCCTTTGCCCTTACCCCCAGGCCCAGACTCTAGGGTCCCAAGGGTGGGGCCTATACCTCTATACTCTTTCCTGCTGCCTCCTCCTCCTCGTCCTCCTCGGGCTTCTCTTCCTGGGGTGCCGGGCAGCCTGGGGCTGGGCCAGCTGTGTCCTCCTGTCGCCCTCGTCGTCCCTGCTGGAAACTGGCGATGGCCTTGTGGTCCTTCTGCCGCTTGGCGCGCATCACCTGGCTGCTCAGGTCCCGACTGGAGGCGTTGATCTCAAAGATGGTCTGTGGAAGGAACGCACGAGTCCTTCATCCACTGGGTTCCTTCTCTTCCCAGACCTCACCAGCTTGGGGGGCAACATGTGGCATTCCTCCCCAAGTCTTTTCAATGCTATGAAGTAGGTATTCCCGTCACCTGCCTTTTACCATTAGAAAGGAGGCCCAGAGAGGGCAAGTGACCAAACCAAGGTCATACAGCTGAGGCAAGCAAGAGTGGCATTTCAATCCTGGTTTACTTGGCTCTGAAACCATGACACTCTCTAGCTCCTTTTCCTTGATATCGGCTGTCTGGCAGCCTTGCCCAACTCCTGGGTAGGTCCTTCCAGCTTCTATGCATGCCCGGCATAGGCCTCAAATGGGGTGCCCAGCGGGAATCAAGAGGGGATGAAAGGTGACCGAGAGCCAGTTCCAGGCCTCTGACAGGCCCAGCACATGCCACTCCCCTCTGTGAGCCTCAGTCTACCCCTCTGGAAATGTGAGGAAATGCCTACCACACAAGGTAGCAGGGGTGGTTCCACGACAAGGGGCATCTCTAGAGATGCTCATGAGGCAGAGCCACAGACAGAAAACCTGCAAGCTCAGAAGAAAACCCCTGCTGGGGCCCCGCTTGGGGTCTGGAGCTCAGCCAGAGTCCCACCTCCATAGTGGCCATAGAGTGCCCTCCCCAGCCACCCATGTGCTCTCCCACCCCCTTCCTCACCGCCCGCGAGCGGTAGTTCTTGATGCTGTCCACCAGCTTCAGCCGCTGCAGCTCCTTCTCCTCAAAGCGTGAGCCTGGTGGGGGTGGGGAGGAGGTGTGAGGCCAGGGAGGGGGGCTCTGTGGTGCCCACCCGCTGCCCCCGGCCAGGACTCACTGAAGAGGGGGTGGAGGCCCAGCCCTGTGAGGTCCAGCTCCTTGGCCCTCTTGATGGACTCAGGCGAGGGCGCAGGCCGGGAGCGCACATACTGCTGCTGGGCATTGTCAGCCACCCGGCTCAGGCCCCCCAGCTCCAGCGATGACGTCAGGATGCTCTGTAGGCCACTCTCCTCATCGTCCACCACGCTCTGTGGCACGCGGCCCAGCACACCATCCACACCTGCCAGCACACAAGGAGCCCATCGGGAGGCCTCCCAGCCCCGCCCTCTGCCTGCAGCCATCCTTCCCATCCCTGGCAGTGGAATCGCAGAATGATCCCCGGTTATGGAGCAGCTCCTCCAGCTAGCCACCTGAACCAGCTCAGCGAGGCGCCCCCAGTTCCAGCCTGAGGGCCACTGCCTGTTTTCATAAATAAATATAGTTTTCTTGGAACTCAGTCCTGTCTATCCACTTTCTTATTGTCTTTGGCTAACTTGGCACCAGAAGGGCAGGATCAAGGTGCTGCCGTGGGTCGTGTGACCTGCAGAGCTTAAGCTAGTCCCTCACTCACTTCCTGCTGACTCTCCCATGAGACCACTAAATCCCCCTACAAAAATCACACGTTGCAGAAGAGGAAACTGAGGCTCAACAGGTTTAATCTTGCCCCACAGCACACTGCAGGGTGGTGTCACAGTTCAGCCCCTATCCCAAGTTAAGAACTCGCCTGCCCACCTCTTCTGCATTAAACTAGTGCTGGGCCATGCTGCCCACCCTGACTAGCTCTGAGGCAAACGCACGATGGCCTCCCCCTAACAGGTAACTACTCCGTGGCTGGCTTCTGTTGGGACACTGCTGCAGAAGCACCTTCCCTCTTTCTGCCCCTCCTACCCCCACTGCTTGGTCTCAACCCAGGAGGTCTGCCAAGGGCTCCAGAATCTGCATTTGGACAATGGGCCCAGCAGGCAGGGGCTCCTGACGCTTGGAAGCAGAGATGCAGCACACAGCGGGTGCTCAGTGAAGATGCATGGGGCTGTAGGCCGCCTCCAGGCCCCAAGCACAGGGGGCACTGACACCTGGGCTCCTGAATCTGGGCTTCTACTTCGTGCTGAGTAACAAGCAACATGGGACGAGTGGCCTGGCCTCACCTATAAAGCAACCCTCCCTATGGTCTCCAATGGACACGAGACCATGTACCTTTAGGGGTTTGACATAGAGTAGGACCACAGGAGAAGGCTACCATGATCAGTGTTGCCCACCCCACGCAATCTCACCCCACAGAGAATAAGGGAAAATTCTGTGAGTTTGACCTCAATGAACCTGTCTCTGCCCTCTTGGGCGATCCCAGAACCTTGGTCGAGTGCAGAGTCTCAAGCAGATGCCCACGGGGGCCAGGCAGATGAGAGAAGTGGGGGTGGGAGCTGCAGTGAACCTAGGGGCCCATCTATGAGGGGCAGAGGGCCTAGCAATGCCTAGACAGCAACCTCGGGAATAGGCAAACTGGACAGTCAGACCCAGCAGTTTTCCAACAGCTGTCAGAAATCTGGATTTTTATGTGAAATTCTGAGTTTAAAATACAGGGCTCTGACCCTGTGGTCAAATCCAGCCCCACCTCCATCCGAACCCATGAGCCCTTCTTCCCCACCTGCACCATGGACTCTGTGGGAAACCCACGGGGAACTCCTATCCCAGGGCCCCAGCCTCCACTCACCTAAGGAACCCTCATGGGGGCGGGCAGGAGTGAGGGCACGGCCGAGGAACAGGTGCAGGTCCAGCAGATAGGGGACCTCGTCTGGGGCCACCAAGGAGTAGGCTGTGCCACTTCGGCCGGCACGCGCCACGCGGCCTGTGGGAAGAAAAGATCGAGCTGAAGCAAAGACAAAGGATCCCACAACCCAGCGTGAGTCCCGCAGGCCCACCCATAAGGGTGGTGATCCAGACCTCGGTGAGCTGCTGTCCTTGACTACAAAAAGAGAAAGGGTACCAACAGTCACCAGGATTCCCTGCTTAAGTGTGTGAGTCCACACAGTGCTCTGGGAAGTTAGCAGAAATAAAGATAAGGCTCTGTGCTCATTAGCAATGTTAAAAGTCTTTGGCATCCCCACTTTGGGAGATTTTTCCCCAAGGAAATAACCAAGGATCCTGAGAGTCATATTCAAGGAGGTCTACGGCAGCTCTGCCTGGATCAGCCCCAAGTTGGAAACCACTTCAATACTTGACAAAGGCCTGGCTAAGTTAATTAGCTGGTGGCCACATGGTGGGAATGACACAGGTGAGGGAGGGGGCTGGCAAACTGTGGCCAGTGACCAAAGCTGGCCCCCTACTTGTTTGTGTCAATAAAGTTTTATAGGTGCACAGCCATGCTCCTTCATTTACATATTTTCTATGGCTGCTTTCGTGCTATAGCGGCAGAGATCCGGGACCGTATTCCCCAGAGCCCAAAGTATTTACTATCTGGCCCTTTACAGACACGGATTTGCCAACCCCTGCCACGGAGTGATGTTTAATGGTGAATGGAAAACACGCACAACGTGCGCTGACATAAGAAAGAGGTGACAGGAAAGAACGTCCACTGTGATTCTAATTCTGTGTTAAGTGAATCCAAGTGTAATGTTACCTTTGGTTTCTGCATCTTGCAAAAACAAAGTGTCACCACATTTGCAAGATTCGTTTGGGGTGGTCTGACTCACAGTGCGGGTCACAGAGCACATGAGAAACTCCCTTTGTGGGGGTGGGGGGTGTTCTGTGGACCCCTCAAGGAACATACCAGCCAGCTCTTCCCAGAGCCTCGGAAACCAGGGCACAGCGAGCAGCAACCAACAGGGAGATGAGGCCCCCAGACCTGCAGCAGGAGCCCCGGATGGAGGCCTCAGACACGCCCCGACTGCAGATCGAAGCAATCCTCCTGGGGGCCCACCATGGGCAGCCAGAATTTCCTTATTCAACAAGGTTCAATCACGTGGAACCTGCCCACCAGATTCTTCTCTCACGGACCCACATGTAACTCACTCGTGTTTACCAAGGTAACACATACATTTAGGAGTTGAAAGAAGGCAAAGAAAGCAGAGTAGTGGTAGCCAGGGGCTGAGGGAGGGAGGACAGGGAGCTAGTAGTAATGGGAACAGAGTTTCAGTCTAGAAAGATGAGAAGGTTCTGGAGGTGGATGGTGGTGATGGTTGCACAACTATATGAACGTACTTAATGCCTCTGAACTTATACCTAAAAATGGTCAACATGATGATTGTGCATTAAATACGCTTTACCACCATTTTTAAAAGGGCAGCAGTGACAAGAGACAAACTAAAATGACAGCTGTGTCACCAGGGAGGCAAGGAGGGATAGTGGTGAAGAGGGGGGCTCCGACCCCAGCTGCCCCACTTTGCTACCTGTGTGACCCTTGGCCAGTTATGAACCTCCTTGGCCGCAGTTTCTTCACCTGTAAAAAGGGGGCTGGTGCCACTGGCACCCTCTACAGGGGATTGTCGTGAAGATGGAAAGAGCTAGGAAAGCACTTGCACCCGGGCCCAAGAGGAGCACTGGGGAAGCAGAGTTGCTGTCATGCCACCAATGACAAGCATGTGCCTTCCTGCCTTCTATGTGCTTTGCTTCATTTTCCAGTTTTCCTACTATGTGGGTGCCTTACTTTTATCACAGAAGTCACTGGGTACTTGGCCTGGGAGGGCAGAGAGGAAGGTGGGGCCCTGTGAGCTGACTCAACAAAGTCAGGCACTCCCGTCTGCCCTGGATGAACAGGACACACAGGGGCCCCCACGTTATTTGAATCTTGCAAAGGCTTAAAGGAGAGGAGCTGAAAAGACAGAGTTTTGGAGAAAGGACTGTGAGGAAGGAGGATCGGGGGACAGGCCATTGGACCGTGACAGGACAGGGAGAAGAGAGCCCAGAACAGACAATCCAGAAAGTGGAGAACTGCCTGCTTGGAGCCGCAGGAATCATGGCTGGGCCACATCCCCCAGAGATGAGAACTTCCCCAGGCTTCAGTTTCTCCACCTATAGCACCAAGCTTGGTCCGGGTCCAGCCACGGGCTCCTTACCCACACGGTGCAGGAAGAGCTTGCCCTTGGCAGGAAAGCTGTAGTTGATGACATTGTCCAGGAGCGGGATGTCCAGGCCACGGGCCGCCAGGTCTGTCACGATGAGGGCAGAGCACTTGTTGTGGGTGAACTTAGCGAGGTTGATCTTGCGGGCCGTCTGGTCCAGGGCACTGTAGATGTGGGTGCAGCTCACGCCCTGGGTCGTCAGCAGCTGCTCAGAGTGAGGACAAGAGTGAGGGAAAGGGGTAAGGAGGCTTGCAGGAGACAGGAGAGGACACCAAGCCATGGCGGCGATGCCACGATGCATTAGGAAGACCAAGGGCTCTGGAGTGGGGCACCTCTGGTCTGAATCCTAGCTCTGAGGGGTAGCTCTGGTACAAATGGGGCCGGTATCACCTCCCACCTCTCCGCACAGCCAAGAGCATCAACAGAGATGACACACGTGGAGGTCTCCTGTAGAGGGAAGGGCCAGCCCAGGACATAAACCTCATCCCCACTCTGCCACAAGTGAGCTGTGTGACACTGACAAGTTATCTAACCTCTCTGTGCCTTCACTTTCCTCATCTGTAGAATGGGGAGACTAATAGTTCCTTCTTTATAGCTTTGTTACGAGGATTAATACACATACAAGGCTGAGCACACGGCCTGGAACATAAGAAGTACTGTGACAGTGTTAACTGCTCTTTACAAATTACTATTTTGGTTTTATTCATCAGTGACCCCAGCAGCTGCACAAAGAAAGCACCGTTAAATGCACGTCAACAAAGTGAAACCCAGTGAACTGCGTCCTCAGATAACAGACCCCAGGTGTGGCTGACCTAGGGTAGGTGGCAACAACCGGCAAGGGGCCCTGGTAGCCTCTGGGGCACACGGACTGTCCCGTGCTGAGGATCACAGGTACATACATATGAGAAAAAACTCCATCAAGCTGCTCCTGTAAGCTTAGGATACTTCGCACAGCTTCCAGCTTGTAGGGCACACCTCCATTTTAAAATGTGAGATACACGGGACACTGAAAATCTACCGAAAATGACAGGATTGGGGGCAGGGGATGTACTTCAAAATCACCCGGATGTAGGGAAGTAGCAGAGCAATCAAGACAGGCCATGACTTGACAACTAAGTACCTGGGAGTTCATTATGCTATCTGCTGACGTTAGTTGTGTTTGGAATTCTTTTCTATTTTTTTTTTTTAATATTTTATTATTTACTTAAGACAGAGAGCGAGAGCGGGCACACGAGACAACCAGTGAGAGAGCATGAGCAGGGGAGGGGCAGAGGAAATGGGAGAAACAGACTCTCTGCTGAGCAGGGAGCCCGATGTGGGGCTCAATCCCAGGACCCTGAGATCATGACGTGAGCCAATGGCAGATGCTCAATCGACTGAGCCATCCAGGCACCCCAGGAATTCTTTAGGATCAAAAATTAAAGAATAAAACAGGAGGAGCCCTGGCCAGGCCTGTGTCCGGCTCTGGTGCTGCCTTCTGGTGGCCGCACACAGAACTGCAGCCCCAAGCTCAGGGAGGAAGATGTGCAGGTCGTGAGACCCTGTGGCGGGTGGCCCGGTGGAGCTTCCCCAACAGGGCCCTCAGAGCCCCCCTCACCTCGCTGAGGTACTCGGCGTGGTGCTTCGTGGCCACAAACACCACCGTCTGGTCTTGGGGCCGCACCACGGTGCGCAGCAGGTGGAGCAGCACAGCAGCCTTGGTGTCCTCGCGCACAAGGAAGAAGGAGGTCTGCCGGGAGAGGGGCACAGTGTGCTCACAGGGTGGGCTCATGGGTGTGGGGCTGCAGGCGGGGGGGGGGGGCACAAGCAGAGTCTCACCTTGAGCTGCTCATTGAGTTTGGCATCCACATCGAGTCGGATGAGTACAGGCTCCGTGAGGCCTATGGTCGACACATGGAAGGTATGGGGGCGAGCCTCGGGAGGACAAGCACCCTCAACCCAGGCCCCTAACCGGGGCGGGCCCCAGCCGCAGCCCAGCTCACTCACCTGCCCGGGCAAACTCCACAAGCAGTTTGGGCAGTGTGGCAGAGAACAGGACCGTCTGGTGGCCCCCGGGGAGGCGGCCGATGATCTCTTGCAGCTGCTCTGCAAACCCCATCTCAAAGAGCCTGGGGAACAAGGGCGGGGCAGGAGAGGGCCTTCCATTCCAGCAGCCTTGCCCCCAGCGCACTCTGCCATGTGCACCGGTGTCTGCCCCATGTGACTCTTTAACTCACTTTCCAATCACTTTGTCTCTGCGTGCCCGCCTCACCCCCAGCAGGGATGATCTAAAAACCTTGAGTCTGTCCTCCGTTACGTTGCTCAGTGTCATGCTGAAGCCAATCCTAGCGGCCCTCCCTCTGGGCCGGGCACGATTCGAGTGCCTTATAGGTACTGACCCTCCCAGCATCCACCAGTCTGGGCTATTGGATCCCCTGTCCATGGACAAGCCTGCCAACGCCCATGGACCCTCAGATGTGCCCAAATTCAGAGCCAGGATACAATCCCACCCGTCTGGCTCCAGTCTATGCTCCGGCTTTGTGCTATTTATTTCTTTGTGATTACATGTTTGCTATTTTACTGTTTTCTTCCACATCCCTAAAAGTAAATACAAAATAAAAACTGTGTGTCCAGGGAGCTGTGTCAGCTCTGGTGCTGCCTAGGGTCTGTAGCCCATGTGGTGGGAAATACTGCTTTGAGCATGGCCACACCAGTCTCTCCAGGCCAAGGCCTTCCTCCCGGCCCTGGGGCCGGCCCTGGTATGGGGCACCCGGCCCTGACAGAGGCATCCGGGAGGAGGCACGGGCTCACCTGTCTGCCTCATCGAATACCACGTACTCCACACTCTGCAGCTTCAGGTTCATCTCCACAGCCACGTGCACCAGACGCCCTGGAGTGGCAATAATTCTGGAAGAGGGTGTGCAGGCCAGGTCACTCAGGGCCAGGGCCACCCACACAGCCGCCTTGCACTCCCCAACAGCCGGCCACTGGAAAAGAGACCCCGGACCACCATTCTCAACCCAAACTCACATGTCAGGATTTTCATGCAGGGCTGCAAACTGGTCTTCCATCCTAGCAGAGGGGAAGAGGAGGTGTCACCTTGACACACAGGCTGCTTTAGTCCCTCTCCCTCTCCCTAACAAGGGGGCCAGGCGAGGCCTATACCCCCTCCCCAGGCTCAGACTTGGAGAAACGCTCTTGCTGAGGTACTGGGTGAAGGTGCTGCCCTGATAAGACATACAAGTTCAAACATACGAAAGGACTGATACCACAGAGTTCCCCAAAGAGATGGGCTCTCTCTTTCTAGACTGCAGCAAACCTGTCTCTGCTTCCAGCACTACCTACCAACTAACCCTGGAACTGCCAGATCCCCAAGATTCCAGGTTTCCTGGATCTCTGTCCTTGTTCTCTCTCTCTCTCTGTTTTTTGACAGATTGAAAGATTTTATTTATTTATTCATAAGAGACACAGGCAGAAGGAGAAGCAGGCTCCCTGCGGGGAGCCCGATGCGGAATTCGATCCCAGGACCCTGAGATCATGACCTGCTGCCAAAGGCAGATGCTATCCACTCAGCCACCCAGGCATCCTTCTGTCCTCGTTCTTAAACCTCTAGGCACATAGCCCTAACTCTGCACCTCCTCTGCAACACCCTTGGGACACCTGTAGGAGCCAGAATTTTGAGGCTGGCCCTGCCCAGGAAGGCATTTCAGACAATCACAAGCTCCAGAGATAATCAAGTACAATGTGGGCAAAAGAACATTTAAAAGTCAAACACTTGGGGGATCCCTGGGTGGCTCAATGGTTTGGCACCTGCCTTTGGTCCAGGGCATGATCCTGGAGTCCCGGGATCAAGTTCCACATCGGGCTCCCTGCATGGAGCCTGCTTCTCCCTCTGCCTGTGTCTCTACCTCTCTCTTTCTGTGTCTCTCATGAATAAATAAAATCTTTAAAAAAAATAAAATGAATAAAAAAAAAATAAAAGTCAAGCACTCTTCTCAGAATCCAAAGTGATCAGTGACAGTGACATTCTGAGAGCAGAGTAAGGAGTGGGGGCAGCCCCCATGGCTCAGCAGTTTAGCGCCACCTTCAGCCCAGGGCCTGATCCTGGAGACCCGGGATCAAATCCCACATTGGGCTCCCTGCGGGGAGCCTACTTCTCCCTCTGCCTGTGTCTCTGCCTCTCTCTCTCTCTCTGGTCTCTCATGAATAAATAAATAAAATCTTAAAAAAAAAAAAAGGGTAAGGAGGGGCTGCTGGGTGAAGGAGAAGCTGTGGGATGAGGTAGGAGACTAGGTTCCAATCTTAGCTCTACCACCTAATCACTGTGTGGCTTTGAGCCCATCACGTCCTCAGTTTGCCCATCTGCTGAACAGGTGTGGTAATTGCCACCCCAAGAGATGGGATCAGGAAATACTAGATTTTTCAAATCTGAACTATCACAAACATTCCTTGGTTTCTGAGCAATAGCTCACGATTAGGCATATATATTAAAGTAGGTATAAATGGGCAGCCCACTGAGTTGACCCTGGGTAGTACCAGCAACCCCAGGAGTACCAGAACCCTGGTTGCAGAGTTGGGTGGGAGATGCCTCCGGTATTTTACTGCCTGTCTCCCCTTTTGTTCAGGGTGCACAGAGAAGCTGCCATTGCTCTGAAGCCTCCCAGACTCAGTCGATCTGACACCTTGGAGACTCAGCCTATGCCTGCACGGCGGGGCTGGTGGCACGAGGAAGGGGCACTCTTACTTATCTCCTCCCAGGATCAGGGCAGTCCTGAGGCCTGTGAACTTGCCGAGCTGTGGGGGGGCAGAGAGAGAGAGAGATAGAGAGAGAGAGATGACTCACCCCAGCAGGCCTCCCTGACTGGCCCCAGCTCAGCCCATCAGCCCCGGCCCCAACATACCTCCTTGGTGAACTTCATGGTCTGCAGGGCCAGCTCTCGGGTGGGCGAGAGGATGAGGGCACGGGCCCCAGTCTGGGCGCTGTGGGTCTTGAGGCGCTCGAACATTGGGATGAGGAAGCAGGCCGTCTTGCCACTGCCAGTCCGGGCCATGGCCACCACGTCCTTGCCATCCAGGATCACGGGAATGGTCTGAAGAAAAGTGGGCAGGGAGAAGCAGGGTCAGCTTCTGCCCCCCTGCACCACATGACCCAGAGCACTGAGCCTGCAGGGTGTAGGCAGGGGCCTGTTGCCCAGTCCTCCTGAGCCTATTCCTGCCAAGGTTTATCTGTATGCTTCCAGCAACAAGCAGCTCACTATCCCCCAACTCTTTCCACTGATGGACACATCCTTCTTTAGGTTAAACCAGACTCTATCTCTCTGTCTTATCCTCCTCCTTGGGACCCCAGAGAATCACTGTCCACCTCTTGGCTGAGGACAAGACTCATGACCCAGGGGTGATAATGGGGTGCCTGCGAGCTGCCTGGGCAGGGGATCAGCAGTGGGTAGCCTGGGGGAGGCTGAAATGCAAAGAGGCCAACTTTCTCCACTTGTGAAATGAGCCGACTGTGTGAGGCTTTAGCCAGAGTTAAAGGGAAGATAGATATGACAGCCCAGACAGGGAGAGTGTGTCATGAGGCTGGACAAGAGGGCCAAGTCAGTCATCTCTTCCCTAACCCCATTAGCCCTTCCCGTCTCGTACCTTTCTCTGGATGGGTGTTGGCACCTTGTAGCCTTTCTTCATGATGCCCTTGAACACTGGGTAGCTCAAGCCTGGAAGAGACACGGGGATGGCCAGGGGGAGGCACACCACACAAAGCTGACCAGGACAGATGACTGTGTCATCAACCTCGATGGCAAGAAGAAAAGGGGTTGGTGGGAAAGTATATCATGCAGATTCTGACTTGAACCACTCGGGGTGTCTCCTGCAGGGTCTCGGGTGCTGCCGAGGAACCCCTGCTGCAGGCATGGGAAAGTCATGTGGGAAGTATTTAGTGATACTGAGTGGGGATGTCTGTGATTCTTGTCAGAATCATCCAGGATGGGCAGCCCGGGTGGCTCAGCAGTTTAGCGCTGCCTTCAGCCCAGAGCCTGATCCTAGATTCCCGGGATCGAGTCCCACGTCAGGCTCCCTGCATGGAGCCTGCTTCTCCCTCTCTGTGTGTCTCTGCCTCTCTCTCTCTATGTGTCTCTCATGAATAAATAAATAAAATCTTAAAAAACAAAAAACAAAACAAAACAAAACAAAAAAACGAATCATCCAGGATGCTGGGGACAAGCAGGTGGGGCATGGAGGAAACAAGACAGTTGACACTGGTGGTGAGTACAGGGAGACTCACTGTTTTTGGATTTTTCTATACATTTGAAATTTTTCACAACTTAAAAGAAAAAGGTGGGCAGTGGCCAGGGCCCGTGATGGGTGTGGGTGCTGACCAATGAGGCATGTGGCCCCAGGTTGGGGAGGAGGTGACCTTTGGAACCTGATCGTGACCTAGCTTTGTGGAAGTGGGAGGACTATGGGAGGCCCGGGGACAGGAAAGCACCGTGGTTGCAGCTGCTTCTTGGTCAATCCTTCATCTTTATGATTCAGAAAGGCAAAAAAAAGTAGCCGCATATAGATATTTTTATTGGCTTTTTCTCCAATTATTGATAAAAGTTTGGCACAACTTTGATACATTAATTTGCTGTCCTAATTCCTTTCGTGAGTCAACTATTCATTTTCCTCACCCAATTTTCTATGAGGGTATCTTTTTCTTACTGATTTGTAAAAGTTCTTTGCATATTAGAGATGTTAATCCTGTATCTGTCCCAAAGGTTGTGAGCGCATTCGTGATACAGCATTTACTTGAACTTAGTTCACTTATTTTTTGGCAACCTTTGAAAAAGAGTCAAATTAGACAATGTTCAGAGCATGCTTAAAAAGGGCTTCTTCGGGGGATCCCTGGGTGGCTCAGCAGTTTACCGCCGCCTTCAGCCCAGGGCCTGATCCTGGATTCCCGGGATGGAGTCCTGCGTCGGGCTCCCTGCATGGAGCCTGCTCCTCCCTCTGCCTCTGTCTCTGCCTCTCTCTCTCTGTGTCTCTCATGAATAAATAAATAAAATCTTTAAAAAAGGGGGGGGGGCTTCTTCTTTTTAAAATTATAAAAATATTCACCTTGATATTTGAATCTTTGCACCAGACATTTCTGATTTGCAAAGAGCAAGAAAGAGAGTTCTGCGTTATTTCCAGCTAGCCAGGTGTCCCGATACCACCCAGAACTCCACCTTTCCTCCATCTCCTCTGAACTGCACTCTGTCATGCAGCAAACCCTGAATGTCCTTGCCTGTTCTGTCGCCAGCACTGCCCCATGTCGGCTTTGACTGCCCTCTCACGGGGCCGGTCCCTAGGCCGCCCAACTCCAACGGCTGTGCTGGGCCCAGGGCAGACATCGGTACTGGAGCACACAGGGCACGATGAGCCCCTGCTGCTGCCCCCTCAACGTGCCCAGACGCCTGGCTCACCCACCCATGGATTGGAAGCCTCCGGACTTCTTCTTCTTCTTGTTCTGGGCTCGCACCATCTCCCGTGTGTCCGGCTCCACGTCGGAGGTGCATTCTGAGGTGGGGAAGGCGGGCAGCGGTCTGCCAGGCCCCAGCTGGGCAGGAGGAAAAGAGGCAGCGTCAGGCCAGGCACATTCAGACCACTGGGGGCAGGGAGAGGGCCTATCTTGCAGCGGGCATCCCTCCATTCAGGCCGACGACACCCCTGCCGGATGGCGGGCCTTGTCTGCCAAAGGGGCCCCCCATGACAGGGCCAGGGTAGAGCAGAGGGTCAGACAGCGGGCCGTGCAGTTAGACTGTCCAGGTTTCAATCCCCGCTCCGTCACCTGCCTGTTGTGAGAGACCTCAGGCAAGAGACTTAATCTCTCTGAGTCTGGATTTCCACCACTGGGAAACAGGGATGATAGACAAGAGCGTGTGTCTCACAGGGCACATGAAGATGAAAGGGGTAAGTGTAAAACCTAGAACAGCACCCAGCACGTAAGTGGTGGTGTATCATCACTGTCATCCCGGTCTGTCGTCCAAAGCCCTCAAAATGAAAATCTCTAGAGGGCCAATCAAAGCATGTACTGTGTGTGTGGTACTCGAGTTCTCCAGGTTGCCCTGTCCCCCTCTGCCAAGCCCCGTTCTGACCCATCACCCCTCCCAACTCTGCTGTCTCTCATGCTGGCCTCCTTCCTGCCTAGCCAGGACCCGCCGCCTGTCCTGGCACAGCTATATCCAACCCAGACAACCCCTCTGGGGGGCCTTCTCAGGCCACAGAACTGTCCCCCTTCTTCTCAAAAATAACACTTATGGAACACTGATTCATAATAACTGCTAAAACTTTCACGGCACTCACTCTTAAGCCAGGTGCTGCTCTGAGCATTCACATAAATCAGCCCACTTTTAATCACCATGGCAACTCTGTAAAGTAGTTACTATTAGTTTGTCCATTTTGCAGAGAAGGAAACTGAGGAACACAGCGATGAAGTGACCTCCCCAGCCTCTTACAGACAGCAGGGATTTGAACCCTGGCTTCAGACTCTATATTCTTTCACCTGTGACCCTCTGTGGTCCCCTTCAACTATCTGGGTCAGAGCTGCAGCATGTCTACTACGGTCTGTGAGCTAAGAGTGGATTTTATACATCTAAAAAATGGTAAAAAAAAAAAAAAGAAAAGAAAAGAAAAAGAAAAAAATTCAAACAAAGAAGACAGTGACCTTATATGGCCCACAAACCCTAAAATATTTAACATTTGGTCCTTAACAGGAAGAGTTTGCCAACCTCTCTTCTAGACACATGAACACAGAATGCCTGGAACCCACTGGCGCCTCAGCAACATTTACTGAACGAGTAGAATGCACAAACACCGTAATTTAATCCTTTCATGAGTCTCTGAGGCACTTAAAATCATGTGTCTTGTACACATGTGTAAATTCTGCCTTCTACAGGTGTGGCCCAGAGAGGTTAAGCAACTTCTCCAAAGTCCCACAGCCAGTAGACTTGGGCCACATTTGAATGCACAACTGCACCAGGGCAAAGGTCTCCGTCTGAACCATATCTGTGGGCTCTTCCTTGGCACCTACTACCTCTGCCCTCCTGTGCTGTGGCGATTTCTCCACTTTTATGGAGCACCTACTATGTGCCAAGCACTGGCTCCACTGGGTGGGGAAACATGGTACGATTCCATCTGGTCCTTGACCTGGAGGAATGTGGTTCCCTCTTTTCATCGAAACACCTACCCTTAAGAAAAAGTGTGTGTGTGGGGGGGGGGGGGACACCTGGGTGGCTCAGTGATTGAGCATCTGCCTTCGGCTCAGGGCGTGATCCTGGGATCGAGTCCCACATCGGGCTCCCCGCAGCGAGCCTGCTTCTCCCTCTGCCTGCGTCTCTGCCTGTGTCTCTCATGAATAAATAAAATCTTAAAAAAATAATAATAAACACCACTCTTTCATCCACATACCCAAACCCCACTCTGTGCCAGGCACCGCCGGGCGCGGGGCTGCGGGAAATAATGGGCTTTAGCTATTTGCCCGTTGGTGCTCTCGCCCCCCACCCCCACCCCGTGCACAGAGCTGGCACTCAGTAGTGGAAATAGCACAGGCCCTGGAACCAGAGGTCGGCATCCTGGCTCTCCCGCCCACAAGCTGTGAAGTCTTGGTCAAGGTGCTAACCCCTCTAGGGCTTAGGGTCCTCCTCTGGGAAACAGGGATGGCGGCACTTCGCTCCCAGAGCGGTATGGGGATTAAAACGAGGCTTGTCGAGTTCTCAGCATGAAGCCTGGCACACGGTCAAGCGGTCAGCAAACGCGAGCTTAGTTCGCCACCGGGGACCCAGGGGACCCGGGGCGTGGCCGTCTCGAGCCGCTGCGCCGGGCCTCCGCTTAGTTCCCCCCGGCAAGAATCCCCCAAACTCCTGAAGTCAGGGCTTCGGCACCCGCACTTTTCATTGGACCAAAGGGCGCTGGGCCCGCCCCCTCGGCAAGAGCCAGCCAATGAGGGGCCGCGACCCAGAGCCGGCCCGGAAGGCCCGCAGGCCCGGCGGCTGGAACGCAGGGGCTCCGGGATCCGGAGCTGGGCGGGTCGGGCGCGGAGGCACGTGCTGGGGCTGGCGGCCCTGCCGGGGCCCTGCCGGGGTCCCCACCCTCAGCCCCTGGGCGATGCGCGGGGCCGGGCGCCCGCTCCCACCTTCTGGGCCCGGGTGTCATCGTCCGCTTGGATCTCAAACTCGCCGTCCTCCGAGTCGCTGCTGCGGGGCTGGGAGGCCGCGCCTCGGCGCCTCCGCAGCCCCTTCTTCTTCCTCCACTGGGCCATGGGAGCGCGGGACCGAGGTCCGGCCGCCACGCGCGCGCCGGCCGCCATGCGGGCCCCGGGACGGGGAGCGGGGAGCCGGGAGCTGGGAGCGGCGAGGGGGCGGGGCGAGGGGCGGGGGCGGGGCCTGCGGGACGAACCAACGGCGCGGCCGGGCGGGGGGGCGCCGCGTCTCTGCGGCCCGCCTGCGCCGCCTCGAGGCTTCGGGGAGCTCCAGGGGCGCCCCCCCCGGTGCTCGTGGTTCCGGCCGCCCCGCCCCTCGCTGGTTGTCTCTGGGGCCTGGCTGCCGCCGCGGGTCGGTCGGTGCGGCTCCCCGGGGCTGGGGCTGCGGGGCCCGGGCTGCAGATCCGCTGGGACCTTGGAGGCCCCTGCAGAGGAGGGGGCGCTGGGACTGCAGCCCACATCCTGGAGCCGAGATTCTCAGGTAAGGAAAAGAACTCACGATGCAGGGGCCTCGGACCTCTACCGGGGTCTTGACTTGGGGAGCAGGGAATATGGGGTAGTTGGAGGGGTGTCTGTGATCCACCAGGAGCGGAATGGTTACGTGCATAAGCTCTGCACCCCTCTGTCAGGTTCAAATTTCTCTTCTACTGCTTTAGCCTTATTTAGGTGCGGCTTAACAGGTGTGACTTCAGCGTCTGAAGCCTCAGTCTGGTCATCTGTAGATTAGACATAACCGAAGCTACTTCGCAGAGCTGTTAAGAGGATTACATGAAATAATGCTTGTAAAGCTTTTTGCGCAAGGTAGGCACGAGATAATGCTGGTTATTGTATTAACTCCATAAATGTATATACAGGATAGAAGGACCTGCCCTGTCTCCCCCATCCCACCAGGCTAAGTTTTTTCCTTGGTGCCAAAATAGGCACAGGCCTCATCTCTTCTTCGTCCCCCTAGCGTTCTGCATGGAGCACTGTATACTAGGAATGCACATTTATTCATTAAATATTTGCTGGTAGCACCCCTCTCCCTATCGTTGTGACAGCTGAGAGACAGATGAACCCATTTCTGCAATGTCCCCTGGGGTTGGCAGTTCCCCTTTTGTCCTTGGGTTGGGAACTTAAGAGATGGGCCACCTTCCTCTGCTGGTACTGCCAGTGACGGTGGTGTCACCCTGTCCCCCTTTCACAGGGAGCCCTGGAGGCAAGACCCCGCAGGCAAAACATGCCTGCTCTTACCCAGAACCATGTGCAGCATGAAGACCCCTGTGGAGCTGGCAGTCAGTGGGATGCAGACCCTCCGCCTTCAGCACCATTGCCAGGGCAGCTACCGGGTCAAGGCCAGGCCGTCATATGTGGATGAGACATTGTTTGGCAGCCCTGCGGGTACCCGGCCCACACCACCAGACTTCGACCCACCCTGGGTGGAGAAGGCCAACAGAACCAGTGGAGTGGGCACAGGGGCATCACAGGCCTCAGGGGCCAATGGCAGCTGTGAGACCACCTCCTCCAGGGGCAACACCCCGACCCTCACACCAAGGAAGAAGAACAAATACAGGTAACAGGATGGGGAGATGCACCCCTGTACTCCTGAGGCCGCCTGGGTTCCTATTAGAGTCCTGCTATTTACATGCTGTGTGACCTTAGATTCTCAGCACCTTGACTTCTCTGAGCTGCAGTTTCCTTATGTGGAAAATGGGACCTAGTGGGACTACTGAGCGTAAATGAAGTGAGGTGTGTACAGGGCTTGGCACAGTAATCTGACACCTAGGAAGTTCTCAGTAAGCGATAGTGAGGATGGTTGAACACCCATTTCCCAAATGCCACAAGACCAGACAAGTGAGGTCCAGAGGGGTCTAATGATTTGTCCAAGATCACAGAGAAATTTGCATAAGAATATTAAGGTGCTTGATCCATGAAATGACATAGATGCAGTGGGTGGGTCCCAGTTTCGGTAAGTCATTTCAAAAATGGTTTTTGTGGCCTTTTCATGAACAAGCTAGAAAAACAGGAGTTGAGGCTAATAGTTATGATTGTAAATTAATCAGATTATTTGGATCATTTCAGGTTGATACCAGCCTGGAGGGAGGTGCGTAGTGGGGGGCCACAGGGCTCTATCTTGTTTATTGTTATCAGTGATTTGGACAAAAACACAAAAGACTGGAATATTCATTTACAGCTATCATAACAAAATACAGTAGCTGGGGAGCTTAAACGACAGAAATTCATTATCTAATAGTTCTGGAGCCTAAAAGTCCAAGTTTAAGGTCCTGGCAGGCTGAAGCCTCTCTTTGGCTTGCAGACAGCCACCTTCTTGCCTTGTTCTCACATGGTCTTTTCTCTGTGAGCGTGTATGTTCCTGGTGTCTCCCCTCTTCTTATAAGGACTCGATTCTTCTTGGTATAGAGCCTACCTTTATGACCTCCTTTAAGCCTAATTATCTCTCTAAAATTCAGGGTGAATTTTGGGAGGACATAGTTCAGTCCATAACAACTAGCCAATCATATTTAGGGTCCATTCTGAGCCAGGAGGAACATAGGTTGGTGGAGAGAAGTGAAAATGGGAATGCTGCCTGTCTTAGGAGATAGAATTCAATGAGGTAAAAGCAAGACTCCAGTATTAGGTCAGGTTGAGCACCATGCATCTGACATAGAGCCAGGTTAACATTAGCACCGCTGACAACTATGACAACTATAGGGTAGCTGAAAAGGTTGATGTAAGTGTGGGGTGTACTAACAGAGGTATGGTGTCCAGGACAAGGGACGTCAACTCCATGTTCTCCTGGAGGGCAGAATTTCATGCAGGATGCTGACAAGTAGAGGGTGTCAAATGAGAAGATGCGTAAGAGAGAGAGATGCTCTTAAGTAAAGCCTTTGGCTCCAGGCAGACATAGGCAACAAGCAGATACAGTTTGAGCAATTAAATCAAATGGCAAAAAGTTGACTTTTCAAAGACTTGCAGTCTTAACACAGAAACACTTTCAGTCATGACTACAAGGCATGGAGCTGTTGCCTCCTAGGTGTGCCGTGAATATTTGTGAGATTAATAGACAAAAATAATTGGTGAGTGAATCTAATTAAAGGTGAGAAGCCTAGAAGTCCCTTATATCTGATATACTGATCCCAGAGCTTGGGCCCTTGAGCCAGGCTGGATTTGAATCTTGTCTTTACCCTCTTTCTTGCTGTGGGGCCTTCCCCTCCCTATGCCTCCTTTTCTCATTTGTAAAATGGGATTATCATATCTCCCTCCTGTGGATGTTTGTGAAAAGTAACGAGATGATGCACGGTGACATGCTGAGTTCTGGGCCTGCACATGAGGAGCCCTCAGTAAATATTCAAAAATGTAAAAAAGCTTCTCTGGTGATGAGGCCTGGTCAGCTTTATAATAGGAGTTCAAACTGAGCACCCTCTCTGTGCCAGGCACTGTGCTGTGTTACTTCAAATACAGTGAGACCGGCCACAGGACTGCAGAGGGTTCAGCTGACAAGACCACTAGGGAGAAGGAGAATTGGGGGGTGGGGTATGAAAAAAGTGAAGACTGTAAAGATTAAGGTTATATTAACCCAGACTCTTAGATGCAAGTGGCAGAAAACTTAACCCAAACTGGCTTCAGCAAAAAAAGGATGTTTGGGTCTCTTTTATGAGGGGCTCAAACTATTGTTGGATCCCATCTCCCTCTTAAGGCAGCTTGCCCCCCCCACTCCAGCCTAGCCCACCACCAGCTGCTTTGCCCTTACATCCTGCCGGATTATCAAGACCAGATGGCAGACAAACCTCTTTCCTGGTAGTTTCAACAAAGGTCTTAAGGCAGGTGCTCCTTGGACAGGATGGGTCATATGATCATTCCCAAGCCAATCAGTGTGGCCAGGAAGATGGAGTATGCAAATTGGCCGGGCCTGGGGCATCTGTTGGGAAAATGGGGAGGTCAGGATGCAAGGGATTGGATTCTTGGCAGGGGAAACCAACAGAGATAGGAGTAGTGGCATACCAGAGGGCTGTGGCCTCACTGTGGGTGCCTGGCAGGGGGTGGGGGCTTCAGGTTTTTAGGGTTCATTCCACCAGCTCACTGCCTTTCTCCTCCCTTTGCCAGATTGATCAGCCACGTTCCTTCTTACTGTGATGAGTCACTGTTTGGCTCCCGACCAGAGGGCACTAGCTGGGAGGGCCCGTGGATGGCAAAGGGTGATGCTGCTAAACTCCATGCCCTCTTCTGGACACCTCCAGCCACCCCCAGGGGCAGCCACTCATCCCGCTCCCGGGAGACCCCGCTGCGAGCCATTCACCCAGCTGGTCCCTTGAAGGCAGAGCCCAAGGTGGCAGCAGACTCCCGGAAGCTGTCTATGGCTGGGTTGGACTCTCCGCACCCTCTGAGGCGGGAACGTTCCCATTCCCTCACACACCTGAATGCCCCCAGCGCTGGTCGCCCACCCACCAGCGCCCTCCACACCAATGGGCCTCGGGATTCCCGGCCTTCCCCCTCAGGGGTGACCTTCCAGAGCCCCCGAGTGACTCCTAGGGCCCGTTCCATTCGTGATTCAGTGCCAGCTGCCCCCCAACGGGGTGGGGCCACCCAGAAACCAAAGCCCCCTTGGAAATGAGTTCCTTGGTCCTCCCCTCCTCGAGCTTGCTCATGGGGTCACAGTGCAGAGCACGGTTTCAGAGGAGGGCACTGGTTGAGGGTGCCCCTGCAGAGACCAGAGTCTCCTAGGTAACCATGAAGCATTGGAAAAGTGTTCCTGGGGGCAGACATAGCGGGAGGAGGCAGTGCCTTCCTTAAGCACCGGTTGCTCCCTACCTTATACCCAATGACAGGGATTCGGCGGCTGCCCCTTGAGATGCCTGTACCAGTCTTGCTCTAGCCACAGGCCGTGCCAACCCAGGGGTGCCCACCAGTCCCCCATCACTCCCGCAACCTTGTCTTGTCACCAGTGTGAATAAATGGCGTGCTTGCCAACCTAGGAGGGTCCCTTCTTCCTTCATGCCAAGCTTCCTGCTCAGGAGAAGTCTCCAGCCGAGTCTGGAGTTTTCCCAGGCACAGTGTATGGCCTGTGGGGAACAGAGGATCTGGGTGACTCATGGGTGGACATTTTTTAAAATTTTAATAATCTTGTATTTATTTCCACATATTAAAAATATATCAGTAGCTCATCAAAGCCATGACTTTGACTAATTTTATTTTCCTTAGGGTAAGGGCCAATATAGGCCTGGGTTGAATTAAATAGCAAAGTTAAAAAAAAAAAAATATATATATATATATATATATATATATAATAAGGCAATGGCAGAAATCATGAGTTTGGGAGTTGACAACTGAGGTTTAGCAACACGGGCCTCATACATTTCTCACATTTTCCAGAAAGACAGAGTAACAAGAACTTGGCTAAGTGGCGAAGCCCAGGAAGACCAGAAAGTTAACATGTATTTGGAGAGCACTCAGGACTGAGGTACAAGCAGTCCAGGAGCACCTTGCTCTCCGCTCTGCTCCTTGTCACCTGCACCTCCTGGGTCAGGTCATGAGAAACAGCAAAGCCTTTGCTTGGGTGGAGTTGCGCCCCAAATCCCAGGATCCTGCCAGATTTGGGTGGAGGCCAGGCTTTGGCCTCTTTGTGTCCCCATCACACTGCCCCCCTGCCCTGATGCACTTTCAGGAAGCACTGGGATTAAGAGCCCAGTTGGTAGCCGTATCTTTGGTTCTGTACCTCCACCTCTGGGAGGGGAAGAGCAGACACATGGGGAACTGGTCTGGGAGGGACCACCAGTGTCTGGGACATCAGGGACGCATGTGCAGACAGCTACAGGGGTCAGGATGGCCCCAAGCAAAGCAAGCAGCTATGCTCTTGGCACAGACACTGCATTTGAAACACGTAGGATGTGAATTTTCACAAAAAAAGTTCATTTCCCCCTTGGTTTCACCTGAGACATCCAGCTCTCCTCTGCCTTTATCTCCTTGGCCTCTGTTGTAATAGAAGAGCCAGAAATGCCCCTCCTCCCCAGTACTGCTAAAGAGGGTGACAGCCCAAGTGTGATGATACTGGGGCAACTGGCAGGAGGCCATGTGTCTGGAAGGCAGCAGGGAGTAGTGGGGACTGGGGCAACCTGCAGTGTCTGCCATCTAAAAGGGGCTGGCTGCTGCTTAGCTCTAGAAGACCGGCGGATCCCAGGATATCTGGATGTGATTTTTCCAGAAAAAGTAGAAAGTTGCATTTCTCTAGGACAGTCCCTGATTTTTTTAAATGCCAGTAATGAATATATATATATATATACACACATATATAGTTCAACTACCTGGGGACCAAATAAAGCTAATGTAAGGCTGCTGGTTTATGATGCAGAGGCTCTTTCACACTGCTGGATAAGGGAGAAGTTGGGGGCAAATGGATAATCCTAGAGCAGGGGTTGAAGGCAGCCTGAAACCCCTGTCCTCCTGGAGCTCCCTACCTGCACCTCCCACAATCTCTGCAGGCAGCTGTGACCACACCCACCACCCTGGTGGCTGCTGTATCCACCACAGCCATGGCACTGCAGTCTGAGGTCAGGAAGGCTGCTGCAGTTCAGGGTCCAGCTTCCCGCTGAGGCTTAAAGAAGGAATGGCTCTGTGCTGAGGGCCTGGCCTGCATGCTTTCCCCAGGGGAAGGGCATCTACACGTGTGGACAAACACACACGGCCAACAGCCCTGGGCAAAAAGACATTTATTTGTAGGATGTGGTTTAAAAAGACTTTTAACTTTGAAAAATCATTTCAGCCAGGAATGGCAAGGCTCCCCCTCCTTGTGGCCTCATGGCCTGCTCTCTGGGAAGTGGGGAGCACAGAGACACAAACCAGGAATGGGGCCCCCAGGAGCAGACTCATTTCTTGGCCTTGGCCTTCCCCTTGGCCTTCTCCTTGGCCTTCCCCTTGCCCTTCCTCTTGTCCCTCCCTTTGCTCTTGCTCCGCTTCTTCTTCCTGGACCTGAGCATGGAGCGGACCAGGTAGCCCTTCCACAAAGCCTGGATGAGCGTGGCGGCCCGCGTCATGCGCAGCATCTCCTGCTTGGCCTCCATCCTCTTCTTGGCATTGATCTCCCGCTCGGCCCGGATTTGGGCGAACTCCTCCACGAGCACGTTGTGCCTCTGCTTCAGCTCCTCCAGCTGGACCTTCTCCTCCTTGTGGATGGTGTCAAGCTCCTCGTACTCATCCTGAGATGAGGGTCAGGGGGTGGGGGTCACCAAGCAGAGAGCACTGCCTGCCACCCTCCCCCTCAGACACCCCCACCTGACCCAGAGGGGCTTCTGACTCAACAGTGCTGCCCCCACTAAGTCTTTCTGCATCCGAGGCCCGGATGAGAACGGGAAAGGTGATGTGGTCCAAACCCACTTGAGGTGAGACCTGAGTGAAGTCATCTCAGGAAGAAGGAAAGAATCTAGGCTGGTAGGTTAGGCAGGTTGGGTATCAAATCCCAGCTTGGCTGTGCCTTTGGGAGCTTCACCACTGAAGCTTCATTTGTCCTCTGAAACACAGGACAGTTTCAAACCCAGGTAGTGGGTGGGAGCTTTTTGCAGGATTAAATGATGGGGTGGACACAATGTGCTGCATGTGGTACCAGGCACACAGTGAAGACATAAAAATGCAAGCTCTGGGGGGCCTGGGTAGATCAGCTGGTAAAGCGTCCAACTCTTTTTTTCTTTAAAGATTTTATTTTATTTATGAGAGACACAGAGAGAGAGGCAGAGACACAAGCAGGCAGGGGCTAAGGTGCTGAGCCACCCAGGGATCCCAAGCATCTGACTCTTGATCTCAGCTCAGGTCGTGATCTCAGGGTCGTGAGATTGAGCCCTGCGTCAGGCTCCGTTTTCAGCAGAGGGTCTGCTTGGGACTCTCTCTTTCCCTCTCTCTGCCCCTCCCCCTGCTCACGCATACTCTCGCTCTCTTTCTCAAATAAATAAATAAATCTTTTTTTTTTTTTAAATGCAAACTCCCACCACTGAAGCGGTGTGTCTCACAAAGATACCCAAGTGAGGGGGGCCCTGGGTGGATTAGTGGTTGAGCGTCTGCCTTCAGTTCAGGGCGTGATGGAGTCCCACATCAGGCTCCCTGCATGGAGTCTGCTTCTCCCTCTGCCTCTGTCTCTGCCTCTCTCTCTCTCTCTCTCTCTCTCTCTCTCTCTGTGTCTTTCATGAATAAATAAATAAAATCTTTTAAAAAAAGATACCCAGAGTGGAACTTTCTTAGGTAACTAAGTCCCACGGTTCTTCCTTATGTCCAGCTACTGCCTCCTGGTGCCATTCACACCTATCCCTTCCACTAATACTTGCTGAGCATCTACCAGAAGCGAAGGCTACCCGAGGGCCCAGGGCTGAGTAGACTTGGTCTCTGCTGATGAGGAACCCACCACCCTCACTGGGACCAGAGAAACAAGAGCACAGCCTCTGCAGTCCCTCTTCCCTAGAGCACTCAGGATCAGAGCAAGACCCCAACTTGCCCTTCTCCTGACTTTGGACCACTCAGAGGCTGATGTCATCTCCAGTGCTTGCCACACCTTCCTGGCCCTGAACTTGGGACCTTGGGCCACCTATGTTATCACAAAGCCTAGGGAGGGGGGGAGGGGGCTTGAGGGCACTTCATTTACCAGGCCACTTTTCCCTAAGCACCTCCTTCAGGCCAGGTCCTGTTCCAGGTACAAGCATTTGTGACAATGGTACCTCACTGCATCCACATCGTGGTCCCAGCCTGGTCATTACTGCCTCTATTGATCACATGCAGAGTCAGGCTAGAAAGGTGGAGCCCCTTGCTTCAGGTCATACAGCTGGTGACACTAGGGTAGAAAGATCCTCCAAATGATAATGGGGACCATCTTCTCTGTGCTACCCGAGCACATGGCACATCTCAGGCCCACGGTGGAAAGTTTCTGGGTGACTGAGTGAAATACGGGAGGCAAGCTTGTACCTAAGTCAGCCAGGAAGGAGCCCTGGCTTTGAAACTGCAGACAGTTGAGCGCAAAAGGAACAGTGAGTATGGGATGTGGACACTAGATGGAGCCAAGATCATTAGGCCTAGTGACAAGCACTCAGTAGCTTCCAGCTCTGGCTCCTTCCTTTTCCACTTCTCCCCTGGCTGCCCCAGGCCAGACAAATCTTCAGCCTAAGAAGGGGGCAGGGAAGACCATCTGGGGGGGCCCAGAGCTTGGCATAGAACATGGACCATTTCTAGAGGATCATGGGAAATGCACTTAAGAGACTTTTTGCAGCACAAATACCTGCTTTGCACTCATCTCCATATCATACTTCTGGATCCAGTTCTCGATTTCCGTCTCCACTTTATATTTCTTCTAAAAAAATCCAACAAGTCTGTTTGATCGATCAATGTGAACAATAAATTGCACCGAACTTGCTCTGCATCAGGCTTTCATGCTTTGCCCACTGAATCTACACAAGGAAGGTTCTCCTCCATTTCACAGATAAGGAGACTGAGGATCAGATAGATGTGCTGACTCACTTGCCCAAGATCATAGAGCTACTGAGTGTAGAGACTGGAATTGAAGCCAGAGGTCTGAGTCCAGAACATTCTAGGCAGAGGGAGCAGCAAGTGCAAGGGCCCTGACATAGCAACAGGCTTGTGGTGTTTAAGAACAGAAATTGAGCCAGTGTAGCTGGAGTGGAATGGCTGAGGAGGAGCAAGGTCCCAGGGAGGTCAGAGTGAGAAGGTGTGTCATGGAAGGAAATGTCAGAGGCGGAGGAGTTTAGATTCTAGGGTAAGGGAGAGGGGAAGTGATTGGATGGATTTAGATGTAGGCGAAGGACATAATTTAATTTGTAAAATATCAGCTCCCATACTTACCATGGAATATTGTTCAGCCATAAAAAGGAATGAAGAATTGATAAATGCTATGTGGATGAACCTTGAAAACACAATGCTAGGTGAAAGAAGCCAGATACAAAAGACCACATACTGTGTGATTCCATTTACATGAAGTGTCCATAGGGATGGAAAGCAGATTGGTTGTCTGCCAGGGGCTCGGGGAAGGGGGTTGGGGAGTGATGGCTAATGAGTCTAGTGTTTTATTTGGAGGGATGGAGGTGTTCTGGAACTAGACAGAGATGGGGGCTGTACAATACTAGATGTACTAAATGCCCTCCAATTGTTCACTTTACAATGGCTGATTTTATATTATATGAACTTCACCTCAATGAAAAAGAAATAAATAAACCAACTTCCTAATCCTGCAGAGCAAGAACTCTTAACTTGGACACCAGCGTCGGGCTGGCTTCAGAGGGCCTATGCCTCCAAGAATCATCTACCAGTATATGTAGGTGGATCTGTGCTTTCTTATGGAGGAGAGGTCCATGGCTGCCACCAGGTGCTCAGGAGTCGTGACACTAAACAAGACCTGGGAACAAATATTAGAGCAGGTGCCCTTTGTGGGGAGAGAGATTTGGGAGCAACCTGGGTACGCGCACTGGGGCTCAGTGGAGATGATGGAGAAGGCAAAAGAAGAGATGACATTTACCGAGCGCTTACTCTGCACTCATTCTTAGGGGGATCTCATTCAATTCTCCTAATAACCGGCAGACCAATCTGATCACTTTTGCTTTAAAGATGGCAAAAACCAAGGCTGGAGGGAATCATGAAATCGCAGGAGCTGTATGAGCTCCTTTGCACAACAAGTGGGTATTATCACAGCTGCTGGGCTCAGAGTAGTTAAGGAATGGCCAGTGTGCCGCAGGCTGGGATGGTCTCTCTGCCCCAGTCCCCAGGATCTGTGCACAGCACCCTCCTGCTCCCAGGGGACGCTTGGCTCAATCCTAGGCTTCCCCTGGCCCCATGCCCTCCTCCTCCAGGGAGCTGTGCCCTGGGGGCCTGGAGTAGCCCTCCCACGCCTTGCCCTCCCACTATACCTCTCTCTGCCCCTCCCCTGCCGCAGGGCCTCCCCTGTCCCCACACCCTGGCAGCACCTTCCTCAGCGCCTGCTCTGCCTCCTGGTTTTCCATGACCAGGTTGTGGTGCTGGGACCTGAGCATCAGTATCTCCTGCTGCATCTTGGACACCCTGGCCTGCGAGGCCCGGAAGTAGGCCTTCTGCTGCTTCTCCGCCTCCTGTTTGATGCGGAAGAGGCTGTTTTCTGAGAGCTTGAGCACCTGGTGCAGGTGGTTTTTCAGTTCTTGGATCACAAAGTTCTCTTTCTCCACCTGGGTCAGGAAGATGAGAGGCTCCATTACTACCTACCCGATGCCTGGTAATTCCAGGAGTGGCATGGGCTGTAGGCCGCTGAGGATGGAATGGGCAACTTGCCTTATTACCTCGCAGAATCCTGCCCCTAAGGCCCAGGGGAGATGGAGATAGCCTGCTCACAGACAAGGTAATTGATGGCTCAAGGGGGTCAAGTCATCTGTCTGGGGCTGTGCAACTGAGCTGGGACTTGAGGCCACAGGTCTGTCTGATAGAGCCCACATTCTCAGTCACTGCCCTCTACTTCCTGGCATGAGTGATAGGCACAGGCAAGCCAGAGTAACGCTGCCGAACGGTCTGGGGCAGTGGCAGTGCCCAGGGCACAGAATGTGACTGCTCGTTGGCAGAGACACGTGGCATGATTCATGAAAGCAGGAGATACACATACTGTGGGGATTGCCGCCCGCTGACGCCTGAGGGCCTGACTTGTCCCCTGCCCTCCGTTGGCTCTAAAACAGGAATCGAGATGGAAGATGGGGCTGTTTTGTCCATAAGCTCCAAAGGTGAGTCACAAGCCCTGGAGTCTCCCTCTGAGCACATCAGTGCTAGAGCTGGCTCATGCCAGCGGCCTGGGGCTGGGGTCAGCTGGCAGTAGGGCCTGGGGGTCTGGGCTCGCTTCCTGCCAAGAGTGAGGGAAGGCATGCCTTTGGAGCAAGCCTATCCTGTGGGCAAGGCTTCCTGACCTACATGTTGGGTTCTAGAGTGGGCAGTATTATCAGCAGTCAGAGCTTTCCTTGACCTCACAGTGGCCTCATTGGTGTCACCCCCATGTTTTACACTGAGATCTAAGTGACATGAGCAAATCTGCCCACCTGGAAAAATGGGATTTGACCTCAGATTTGTTCAACTGTTTCCACCACCTGAATGGGACCAACAAAGCCATTTGGGGCCCCTCTCCCTGTCCTTCACTGGCACTCTTCTAACCTGTGAGCAGTCTACCCTGACCAAGCACCCAAGAGCCTCTCATCTCTCCACTCAGAAAATAGTTTCCAGGAGTGCCTGAGTGGTTCAGTCAGGGAAATATCTGTGGGAAGTTCAGGTCATGATCTCGGGTCCTGGGATTGAGCCCTGAGTTGGGGCTCCCTACTCAGCAAGGAGTCTGTTCCCTTTCCCTTGGCTCCTTGCACCCACCCACCCCCTGGCTCTGTTCTCAATCTATCTCAAATAAATAAATAAATAAATAAATAAATAAATAAATAAAATAGAAAAGAAAGAAAGAAAGAAAGAAAGATAAGATAGAAAGAAAGAAAGAAAAAAGAAAGAAAGAAAGAAAGAAAGAAAGAAAGAAAATAGTTTTCATGTCCTTCTTAGCTTAGTGCCAGGCTCACTAGGGGTATGACAGTGGGCCCAAAGAGACAAGGTCCCTGTCCTCTTACGGGGTGCTAGATCCAAATCCAATAATCACAATAACCACATAAATGTTTATCAGTAAACTCTGAGACATGCCTTGAAGGATGAAGTTGGTGAGAACATAAGGAAGGAGGGACTGCCTGAGCCACTGTGCAGGGAGGGTGGGCAGCCCACAGCTTTGGAGGGTCTTGAGCTCTGTGAATCCTGGGGCGATGAAAGCGCAAGTGTCTGTGGCAGCACAGGCTGGTTGCAGCCCAGGATTGGCTCCCCTTGCCCCCGGAAAGGCTGTGGAGCTGAATGCTTCCCTGGGAATGTGGCCCCAGCTATAGACCACCTTTCCCAGCATCGCTAGCCCCGCCCCCCGCCCCGGGTGTGGCTAAGAAATGTGAGGTGGGCTACTTCCAGGTTGCATCCCTAAGAGGCAAGTATTAAGGCCTTCCTCCCCTTTCTTCTACTTGCTGGCTATACTAGCAGTGATATGGTGGGGGTCTTCTGGGTCCACAGTTAGAGTCCTGTGTGGTGGACAGCAGAAAGGCCAGACAGAAAGAGCCTGGACCCGTGACAATTTAGGAGGCAGAGTTGCCACGCTTGCTCCAGCTTTTCCACTAGAAAGAAATACATTTCCACTGTGACTAAGCCACTATTATTTTGGGTCTCTGTGTTCAGCAGCCAAACCTATACTTATACCCACATCATGGGGACTTTGTTAGGCTTTAGTGAGAAAATGTATGTAAAGCACAATACATAGTTACGTGTCCCAGATGGTTGTTAGGTTGGGATCATGTTATCAGTTCCCTTCTTAAAAATTCTTCTAGAGCTTCCACCTGTCCCATCTGCCCCTTGCCCTTATGACAGACATCACATTCTTTGATCAGACCTCAAAGGCACTATGTGATCTAAGGGCAAAGCCTAAAGCATTTACTATCCAGTCCTTCATAGAAAAAGTCTGCCTGTTGCTGGCCTGGCAGGCCCCTGCCTACCTCTCTTGCCTGGTTCTCTCCCTTTGACTCTTCATGTGTTGGCTTTGACATCTCGCATGCTTTGGGTCTAAGTTCATTTCTCTTGTAACATTATCTTCTAGCACTCCAAGCTTACCTTTCGTTGTACTTCTCAAAACTGTAATTAAATTAGCTCTTTAAGACCTACCTCCCATGGGCAGCCCCGGTAGCTTAGCGGTTTAGCGCCGCCTACAGCCCAGGGTGTGATCCTGGAGACCTAGGATCGAGTCCCAAGTCAGGCTCCTTGCATGGAGTCTGCTTCTCCCTCTGCCTGTGTCTCTGCCTCTCTCTCTCTCCTCTCTGTGTATTCTCATGAATAAATAAATAAAATCTTAAAAAAATTAAAAAAAAAGACCTACCTCCCATGAACTGCATGAGGCAGGGAACATGTGGACTTACGCTTAAGACCTGATATGTAGGGATCCCTGGGTGGCGCAGCGGTTTGGCGCCACCTTTGGCCCAGGGCGCGATCCTGGAGACCCGGGATCCAATCCCACGTCGGGCTTCCGGTGCATGGAGCCTGCTTCTCCCTCTGCCTGTGTCTCTGCCTCTCTCTCTCTCTCTGTGACTATCATAACTAAATAAAAAAAATTTTAAAAATTTTGAAAAAAAAAAAAAAAGACCTGATATGTAGCCAGTGTTCCCGACAATATCTGTAGAGTGAATGAATAACAGCAGGTATTTAAATCACTGAAGGAAACACCCAACTGCCAAAAGGTCTGGCTCCTCTGTGTGGCTCCTTCCACAACCTGACCAATACCATTAAGCGATACCTCTGCATCTCTGTTCTTCATGCTCACTGCCAATTCATTTTCGAGAGCATCGATGATTTCTTGGTTCCTCCTGTTCCGTCTACTGATATCCTGTATGAACTGATTCTTATTTCTAGCTTCCATGGGACTAGTGAGCAGCTTCTCGAAGAGGAAACCCCGTAGTTCTATCAGGCAATCAATAAAATTTTGGGCTTCTGCGCTTCTGCTCACTGTATGCATCTGCAAGAGCCTTGCTGCCTGTGGGTTATTGAGCAAGAGTCTGAGGATGTCCTTGGTAGATTCTTTGATCTGTTGCATAAGTGGCAGGAGGCTGGATTTCTGTAGTTCTAAAGAGAAGAGGCGGTCTCTGTACCACACTTCCTCCTCTTCCTCCTCCTGCAACTGCCTTTCTTTATCTCGCAGGTAAATGACACTGTCCAGGAGGCTATGGCAGAGGTCCTCGTGCTCCCTCACAGCCTTCAAGATGTCCTGTCCCAGCATCCCCTCCAGAGTCTCGTAATTAGAAGCCACATATGACAGCAGAGTCACCAACTCTACCTTGTGGATGGTCTCGTCCAGTACGGACATGATCCTCTTGGTCTCAATGGTGGTGAGTTTGGACTTAGAGGGGACCAAGGGTTTTAGCAGTGAGGCGGGCTTCTTGGATGGCTCTGCCATCAACCCCATTCTTGATGTCAGGGCCCTGGTAGGGAGGGGCCACGGTGAGGACATCTAGAGCAATTTTCTGAGCAGAATCAGAAAGCCCTGGGAGATTGAAACATTGCTAGATTACACAGGCCTCCAGTTGTTATTGTCTCTGATGACCCTGCAAAGGAAGGAGTGAGTGGTTAGTAGAGCCATGCTGCAAGGATGTGGCTGGTATGGCCACGGCAGCCACAGACCGTCAACATCATTTGTCCCTGGTGGCCTGCTGCTTTTTACCCAGAACCTCCTCCTGAAAGCAGTTTCTAGCTTTGTGACAGCCTCAGGCCACAAGGGTGGGAGGACCCAGTGGAGAGGTGGGTCTTAGGCAAAGGCGTCAGGCAGGGAACACCATGCTGTTGAAGTGAGTTAACTATGCAGGATATGAAGTATCCACTGACATGGATTTGTTCAGCTATGGACAGTAACAAGCATTTAAATAAATGCAACAGATATCATGGTGACTTAACATGAATGAAAAAAAGTCAATGCTAGGGGACTTTTAAAAAAAAAAGTATCTAGGGGCACCTGGGTGGCTCAGTGGTTGAGTATCTGCCTTTGGCTCAGGTAGTGATCCTGGAACCCTAGGATCAAGTCCCACATCGGGCTCCCTGCAGGGAACCTGCTTCTCCTTCTACCTATGTCTCTGCCTCTCTGTGTCTCTCATGAATCAATCAATCAATCAATCAATCTTACAATCAATCAATCTTTAAAAAAAAAGTATCTAAATACAGAAAACTAGTTATACAGGTGATGGAAAGACTTGAGAGGCTAACCAGGGATGGAAAAGCCAGCCAGCAGATGTCAATGGTAGGAGGCCCCCACAGAAGGAGGTGGTATTGATCCTGGGGACTAAGGGTCACCTGGGAGGAGCTGGAACCATAGTCATTTCCTGTCCAGGAGGAGCTGTAGCCCCCAAGGAGCTGGGGCCGCTGCAGAGAGAAGAAACACTGTGGGTTCTTCTTCCTCCCGCCTACCGGTCCAACACCAGTGCCTCCCATTAGCCAAGTCCAGTTGAGAAACCAGATGACAAGAGAGCATGGGCTCTGCAACCTGCAAGTTGTCAGCAGCCTGAGACAGAGCAGCACAAGGAGGGAGCAGATAATACAGCTGAGAGCAAATGGGACCAGGATCAGCATGGCACAGCTGCACTGGTTTTTAAGTATGGATATAAAAAATCAGGGGAAGATGAACAATGGCATCGAAACACAATTTTTTAAAAAGATTATTTGTTTATTCATGAGAGACACAGAGAGAGGCAGGGACATAGGCAGAGGAGCCTGATGCAGGACTCAATCCCAGGACCCCAGGATCACGACCTGAGCCAAAGGCAAATGCTCAACCACTGAGCCACTCAGGTGCCCCTCGAAACACAATTTTTATTTTTATTTATTTTTTTTAAAGATTTTATTTATTTATTCATGAGAGACACAGAGAGTAGAGAGAGAGAGACAGAGAGGTAGAGACACAGGCAGAGGGAGAAGCAGCCTCCATGCAGGGAGCCTGATGTGGGACTCGATCCCAGGACTCCAGGATCACACCCTGTGCTGAAGGCAGATGCTCAATCCCTGAGCCACCTGGGCTGCCCCTCAAAACACAATTTTTAAAACCCGTTTCACCAAATGCAATGTTGGATCCTGGATTGGAAAATGGACACATAGAAAAAGGTAAACTCCAAACCAAGCTGAACCTGTAGTTAACAGCACTGTACTGATGCTAATTTAATTGAATTAAAGACTTTCAGAAAAATGTATGGCAGCAATGAGAAATCAGTCATTGATGTTGCCCACATGGCATGATGGCTGAGTACCAACTTTGCAGTAGCCCAACTTGGGTTCAGACACTTGCTGGGGTACCCTGGGCTGGTTATCTAATCCCCCTAAGCCTGGGCTTCCTCAGCCATGAAACAGGGATCCTAAGATTGAATGGGAAGTTTCTGGAACAGGGCCTGGACATTGTGAGTGCTCAATAACTAATAACTAGCATTGTTAGCTCAGGGAAACCAAAATCCCAAGTCTAGGACTGTGCTGACTTCCTAGTCTGAGTGCTGGGCGTGGCTGGAGACCCAGACGTACCACATGGTCACTTCCTGCATAGGACTGGCTGGGCTTCCCAACAAAACGTGTCTAAGAGGGACCCCACCATGTCCCCATCCCTCACCCTCCTTCTTTATTCTTCGTCCTGATGATTGGCAATTCTGTCAGCCTAGTTGCTGGAGTTGGAAACCCAAGTGCCCCCCCCCCCCAACTTTCATTACCCGCCACATCTGAGGCGGACACTCTGTTCTCTCAGTGTTCTTTCCTAGACAGCTCCCAGTCCTTTCGTTCTTGGCAGGCTCTCTGCCACTGAGTGAGGGCCTTATAATCTCTCACTTGGATGATTAAAGAGCTTCTTAACTTGTCTGCTTATATCTGCTCCTGCTCCCTGCAATAAGGATCATCCCTCCAGTCATCCATTTGGGCATTTATTGAGCCCCTGGGGATATTAAAGAGATGCAAGGTATGGTTCCTGTCCTCCCTGAGTTTACAACCTAGTTTGGAATATGAAACATGCACACATGAAGGTTCAACAGCTGTAGGAGGAAGGGCAGAAAGCTGTCTTCACAGAATAGGTTGAGGTCATGACCAGCCTTCAACAGCAGAGTAGGGACTTTGGAGTTGATCTTGTAGGAAATTGGGATCCCTTTAGACATCAGGAAACATGTAACAGGATAAAATCAGATTTTTGAGAAAGATTGGTCATTATGGGTGATTTATAGAGGAAGGGTTGGTGGCAGATAGATAAGTTGGGATATTATAAATCTTCCACCTCAGGGCCTTTGCACATGCTGTTTTTTCTTCTTGTAACACTTTTCTCCTCCTCCTTGCTAACTAAGTTAATTCTTTGTACTCAGAGCTTTGTTCAGGTGTCACTTCCTCAGGGAAGCCATTCCTGGCCTTCCAGACTGGGTCAAAGTCTTTTAGTGGGTTCTTATAAGGTTACATCCTTTTTTTGCAGGCACCATCTCCACCCCAACCTCCTTCCCTCTTGCTTGCCTATATTGTAGGGGCTGGAAATAATGCTCAACTTCTCAACTTCCTTTACAGTTGGGAGTGGCTTTAGACACTGTTAGAGCCAATAAAATTGAGACGTTTTCTAGGGGCTTCTGGGAAACCTTATAGCTTCCCAATACAAAAGAAAGACATCGCTGGCTTCACCTCTGTTCCCTGAACTTGGGCTTTAATGCTGGAGCAGTGGTAGCCACTTTATGAATGAGAAGGAAAAGTTAAGAGAATTGCAGTAATGCTGTCCCTGATGTCATTGAGCCACTGGACCTTCCAGGGGTCCATCATCTCTTACCCAGATGACTGTGATAATCTCTTTACCGGTCATCCCACTTCTGCTCACTTGCCCCACAGTCTCATCTCATCACAGCAGCCAGAGGGAGACTTTTAAGATGTCAGATCCTTTCACCCTTCTGCTCCAAATCCAGTTCACAAGAGCTGATTGTTAAAATTTCAGGGTATTTTGTGAGCTGGTTGTTAAGCCATTAGTAGCTTGAAATCAGCCATGGCAGAAGTATTATACCATGGAAATTGGCAAATACTACAAGTCAGCACCCCTTCCCACCAAACTGGGTGTTGAACATTTGCCAGCACACCACCACTACAACAGCTTTGCCTCTTGCTCGGGATAAAAGCCAAAGTCCCTATAGTAACCAGGAAGACCCTACATATCCTGGCCACTGCTACAACTTGCCCTTCTGCACTCATTCCATTCCTTGAACATGTCAAACGTGCTCCAACTTCTGACAGGGCATTTGCACTTGCTATTTGCTCACTACTACCCCCAGACCCCCAGACCCAGGTCTGGAACATTCCTCTAAATATCTGCAAAGCTGTTCCCTCACTCACTTCCTTCTCTGCTCAAATCTCAGTGTAGTAGTGAGCATTTCCCTGATTTCCTTCCTAAAATATAAACCCTCTCCTCCTCCCTGCCCTTAATCCCTTATCCTGTTTACATTTCTCCCGGTTAAGAATCACCATCTGATGTTTCTAAATGGGCCTGTTTGTTTGTTTATTGTCTGTCTTTCCTCTTCCCCTAAAGAGTAAGCTCTAATGAAGGTAGGGGCTTTTTCTATTTAGATCCCTGCTACATTTCGGGCACTGAAAAAACAAACAAACAAACAAACAAACAAACAATCCCCAACACTGTCTTGGGGAGAGGTCTGGGGCTGGCATGGACAGGTTACCTGGGCCATTTTCATCATTCTCATTGTCATACTCTATCTGTAGATGCAAGATACATTTTTTTAAATATTTATTTTTATTTATTTATGATAGACACACACACAGAGAGAGAGAGAGAGAGAGAGGCAGAGACACAGGCAGAGGGAGAAGCAGGCTCCATGCCGGGAGCCCGATGCGGGACTCGATCCCAGACTACAGGATCGCGCCCTGGGCCAAAGGCAGGCGCGAAACCGCTGAGCCACCCAGGGATCCCCACAAGAAACATTTTGAAGAAGGAGTCATCAGGACTTGATGAGTGAGACCGTTTTGCGTTTGGGGGCCTGGGAGACAAAGATGGGGCCCTGAGGAGCTAGAAAAATTGGGAGCAGAAGTTTGGAAGGGAGGACAAAGAGCTCAGTTTTAAACTCGCTTAATTCTCGCTCCTGTCACTGGGATAGACAGCGGACAAAGGGTGTCTCTGCCTTCCCATGATCCATGTCCTCTCTGCCAGGTGATAGTACCCTGGTTTTCCATTGGAGAGCTCATTCCTTCTCACACTGTATGCAGTCTTGGTGGGACTGCCAGGTCAGAGAAGGCTGCTCTCTCCCTCCCAGGAATCTGGGAGAGTCACATGTGGATGGGAGATGGTGGGAACTAGGTCATGCCAATCAGGGGGTTGCTAAAGATCCTGCAGTCAGGACCCCCAGTACTTCCTTGGCTGCTGTACTTTCTGAGGCCCATTCTTCAGCTCTTCCTTCACCATTTTGCTTTAGCCATGGACAGTGTCTGTTGCTTGCCATCAAAGAACCCTAGCTGAGAATACTCTAGGCATCTGATAATGAACGATCTAGGGGGTTCCAGGGAGGCCTCAGGGATGGAGATATAGATGCAAGGGAGAAGTGGCTATCCGAAGCCACAGGAGATATTCAGTTCTCAAAACCAGAGTAAATGGAGAGAAGGGTAAGACTGAGAGAAACATCTCCAGTGACTATGAGCCAGGAAGAGAGGCAAATCAGATCAGATGCTAAGGCTGCTGGGTTCCTAGGCCAGGCAAAATGGGTCTCAGTCAGAAGCCTCTGGGAGTTGACAGCTGAGAGGAGGAGGGCATTATTTTGCATCTCTTTATTTCCCACCACTTTCTGCTCCCAAGTCAATCTTATGGATTCCCTTAAGGGTTTTCCTGAAGATAACGTTTTAGGGACAGCTAAGGGAGCTTCCTTGGCTCCTCTTAGGATGAAGGATCATTGCCCCGTGACCACAGGAAAAACATGAACAAAGTATTTCACGAACACACTTCTCCCCATTGTCCCCCAAAGCTCTCAGGCATAAATCAAAATGCCTGAATTCTTCAGAGATTGCGGCTGGAAATGCAACGTTATATGAAATGTTTCCAATTTGCTTTCAGCCAAATTACCTCTTTTGCTTTAAAGGGCAAACTTGTTTTCTTTGATTATGATGACGCCCATCAGTTTTTGACAGCTCATTTGGGTGAACACGAAAAAGCCGATGGAACAAGGATTGGGGGAAATGCATTTGACTCTGATGACAAAAATCACTGGAGAATCTCTTTTCCTTGAATCCTGATACGATCGTTTCATGTCCTTTTTAATGCCACCAACCTTAATATTTAAATCATTTCCAGCTTAAGCCTCTCCTTTTAAAATCCCTGCCCTGAGAGTGAAGCAAGATTGTTAATGGATGGGGAACTTTAATTGGATCTTCCCTTTATTTGTCATTAATTCTGCTGATGAACTTTATAAATGGAAATATATCTTTATCATGCAAATTACACCTCGTCTTCATTCAAATGGGCTTGTTGGATATTTTATTACTTTCACTCTCAGAACATTTTGAAAAAAAAAAGGTTTCAGAGAAATTATATATATTTTTTTGCCTTGGGAGAAAAAGAGGAAGAAAACCCAACCCTTGCAAATACCCCACAAATCTAACAATGGTAGGTGGAATAGTTGGGGGGGGGCGGTAAACAAAACTGTGTGTATTGGGGGGGTGGAAATCTCATTTTATTTGATTTTATTTTGGGGGGGAATCTCATTTTAAAGATCGCCATTTTAATATTGGCTAACCCTTGAGAACTAACTCCATACCAAACACTGTTCTGAATGCTATGTGAGAATTAACTCCTTCATTCCTTACAACAACCTTATGAGATAGTTGCTTTTATTAGCTCTATTTACAAAGAAAGGGAGGCAGAGGGAGGTTAGATGCTTTCAGGAGTTCACAGCTCCTAAGTGGCCCAGAGGTGTCTCAGCCCACGCAGGCTTTCTGGGGAGCCTGTTCCCTGTAGCTGCTGCTCTGTCTGGTCTCACCATTTTCAGATCGACTTTTACAGTGGACCAGGCACAGTGATTCTTTGCTGGTCCAGTTTCAATAAATCCTGCTAAGCAGTGACCCAAGAGGACAGACGTGTTCAAGATTCAGTTCCTAGAGCATTCAATCTACTTAGTAACTACAAATATGAATATTCGTATTTGTAATTTTATATACATGTATACGCCCACTGGTAGTGTTCCTGGGTATACCCAGGATTAGACACAGTTTGCAACCATAGGGCTGTCACCCTGTCCCTTTCACTTAGCGTAAGAGAGCTTATCAGAATGCAGGTTAGTGAGTGGCTGAATTATTTTATTTGAGGGTAAGCCTTGAATCATCTCTCATTGACTTTTATGTTTTTGAGTCAATTATTACATACTTTGGAGCCTATTTTAAACTAATTACCGAGACACACCTCATAACTGATCATGACACAGGGATCGTTGGGCACATGGGTTCTGGGTCAGGAAGGAAGCCTCCATGAGGATTGGTTCTAATTTAGGATTGTCTAAATTCCTCTCACTAGCATGCCACCTTTGGGATTTCTGCCAAGTCTAAAGACCAAGCTGTACTATTATTAACTCAACTTTTTTTTTTCTGAAGTACACTTTCATTCTTAAGTACTTTTCATTAAAAAGTATCTCCACTGCAACTGAAAAATCTGTATCATTTTCCTTATATAGAAGGTAATAATGTCTATAGCCTGAAATTATTTTACTCTAGCTGGGTGCTATTGCCCAGGGGCAATGAGTGCAAGCCCAGATCTCTATTGTTGAAAAGGAAGATTAGCAAGTGGTAGGGAGATGTTACAAACATACTAACAAAAAGACAGAATAGATAAATTACTAATGTCAAGAAGGAAAGAGGGGCCATCACTACTGATCCCATGGGTGTTAAATTACTAATGTCAAGAAGGAAAGAGGGGCCATCACTACTGATCCCATGGGTGTTAAAAGGATAATAAAGGAATATAATGAACTACTCTATGGCTATAAATTTGATAACCTGGATGAAATGGACTAATTCCTTGAAGATACAATCTACCAAAACTCTCATAAGGAGAAATAGATAATCTCGATGGGCCCTTATGTATTAAAGAAATTGATCAGTAGTTAATAACTTCCTGAAACAGGAAACTCTAGGTATAGAAGATTTCACTGGTAAATTTTACCAATTCTCTAACATTTTTTTCCAGAAAATAGAAGCAGAGTGAATATTTCCTAACAAATTCTATGAGGCTAGCATTACTCTGATACCAAAATAGACAAAATACACTATAAGAAAGGAAAGCTACGGACCAATCAATATCTTTCATAAACATAGATGCAAAAACCCTCAAATTGGATCCAACAAGGTATAAAAAGAATTATAGCCCATGACCAAGTGGGATTTCTTCCATGTCTGCAAGGCTAGTTCAACATTCAAAAATCAATTAATGTAATCCATTACATCAACAAAAAGAAAAATCATATCAATAGATGCAAAGAAGCATTTGACAAACTCTTAAACTGTTCATGATTTTTTAAAAAACAACAACAAAACAAACTTCTCAGCAAGTGAGGAATATAGTGGTATTACCTCAACTTGATAAAGAACATCTACAAAAACCCTATAGCTAGCATCATACTTAATTGTGAGAAACTAGAAGTTTATTCCCTAAGAGCAGGAATAAGGCAAGAATGTAACCTCTTATCCTTCCTGTTTAACAATCATAGTGAAGTCCTAGCTTGTGGAACAAGACAAGAAGAGGAAGTAAAATGTATAGATTAGAAAAGAAGAGATAAAACTATCTTTATTCACAGATGACAGGATTATTTATGTAGAAAATCCCGA